CAAATCTATGTCTAATCAAACTAAATACAGGTAAGTTCCTCACCAGTTACAGAATGCTCCCTTTTACAGGCTAATCTCCTTTTAGTCTGGGACCAGCAATCACTCACACCCCCTGTAGTTACTGTCCTTTGTTCCAGTTTTCTTCAAGTATCCTGGGGGGGGGGGGGTGGAGAGTAGGATTAACATACATCTGGATTTTCCCGGACATGTCCGGCTTTTTGGGATTTCCTCCCGAATGGGGATTTGAGGCCCCAAAAGCCGGACATGTCCGGGAAAATCCAGATGTATGTTAATCCTACTCTCCACCCCCCCCCCCCCAGGATACTTGAAGAAAACTGGAACAAAGGACAGTAACTACAGGGGGTGTGAGTGATTGCTGGTCCCAGACTAAAAGGAGATTAGCCTGTAAAAGGGAGCATTCTGTAACTGGTGAGGAACTTACCTGTATTTAGTTTGATTAGACATAGATTTGCGCATTTTATTTTATTTTACTTGGTGACTTTGTTCTGTCTGTTACTACTTGGAACCACTTAAATCCTACTGTCTGTATTTAATAAAATCACTTTTTATTTAGTAATTTACTCAGAGTATGTATTAATACCTGAGGGAGCAAACAGCTGTGCATATCTCTCTATCAGTGTTATAGAGGGCCAACAATTTATGAGTTTGCCCTGCATAAGCTTTATACAGGGTAAAACGGATTTACTTGGGTTTAGACCCCATTGGGAGTTGGGCATCTGAGTGCTATAGACAAGCACACTACTGTGAGCTGTTTTCATGTAAACTTGCAGCTTTGGGGCAGGTAATTCAGACCCTGGGTCTGTGTTGGGGTAGACGGAGTGTCTGGCTCAGCAAGACAGGGTGCTGGAGTCCTGACCTGGCAGGGAAAACAGGAGCAGGGGTAGTCTTGGTATATTGGGTGGCAGCTCCCAAGGGGGTTTCTGTGATCCAACCCGTCACAGATACCATTATGGAGAGTGTCACCAATGGGTGGTACTAAAAATTGTTAGTGTAAATTCTTAAGGACTGAAATTAGTCTACAATGCAGGAGATAGACTTGAAGCAGAACTGTAAGCTAATAATCCTGAAGAAGACTGTACTTGTGCTCAGCACAGCAGACTGAAAGTCCAAATAGGGAGAGGCCCTTTGCAGAATGGATGAACTGTGAAATGCATGTGATTGTGCAAGAGAATTATAGAACAGGCATTTCTGATTGATCGTCTCCTTACTGAAACATCGCATTTTACCCTTAAATTGGGAGCTCAGACCACTTCTCCTTCTGCATTAATACAGAGTGTTTCGAGGGATGTATGCCAAAAAGATTAGTAGGTAGGTCCTTATTTGTTTGCAACCTTATAATTTTAAAACGCTCTCTTGGGTGGTGTGAAAAGGGGCTGAAGGAAGATATCTTTCACAATGCATCAGTGAAAGTATTTTTTTATTTTAAAATAGCCACTGCAGAGTGCTCAGGTGTGTCCCTGCAATAACTAATTAGTGTCAAACTTTGGGGCAGGACTTCAGGACTGTGAAAATCTTTGCCAGTTGGTGGGGTTGGGCTCAAACTTAAATGGGCAAAAAAAGTGTTTGTAAATAAAGCTACTTGCCTGTACGAGGAGGGAAGAGAGAGAGAGACTAAGGCCCAGATCCTCAAAGGTTTTTAGGTGTCTGATTCCAATGGAAGTTAGACACTTAAATACCGTTGAGGACCTGGGCCTAAATTGCCAATGTTTGGACTCTTATTGGGACAGAAAATAACTGAGGCACTATCACCTGTTGTATGTGAGGCTCCATCTAATAAAATACCTTTCATTGTTTCACCCTGAAACAGTTTCTCCAATTAAGCAGAATCTGATGAAATGGGAAGCCAGCCTGGAGTTTTACAAGTAGTCAGAGAAAATTATGGAAGATACGTTAAGTATGGCTTAAAAATTACAATGATGCTAATGTCTGTAAAATTTAAGCTGCTTTTTTTGTTGGTTGAGCTAATATGAAAGTCCTCTTCGCTTTAATGCTGATTTATTGGTCGTACATTGGTTTGCGTTTATGCTGCAGCTTAGGCATGTAATTCTTCAGCAATAAGGCCGTCACTAATAGGAGGTACAGGAATGCCAACTGCGATTACCTGGCACATTTTCAGTGTGGTGATGGTGGTGATTTCTTCCCATGTAAACTTTCCTGTAATCGTTCTAAGCGAAGTATGTACTTCAGCTTTGTTGTAGCGTTTTGGAATGGGGTGTTCCTGCACACACAAACAATGGGTATGTCGACACCGCAAAGAAAAACCGGCTGCTGGCCCATGCCAGCCAACTCAGGCTCGTGGGGCTCAGTCTACAGGGCTGTTCTATTGCTGCGTAGACTTCCAGGCTTGGGCTGGCGGCCGAGCTCTGGGACCCTCCCACCCTGCGGGGTCCTAGAGCCTGGGGGGTCCAGCCCAAGCCCTGAAGTCTACATAGCAATGAAAAAGCCCCACTGCCCACGCCAACTGGCACATACAGCTGCAAGTTTTTCTTTGCTGTGTAGACATACCCAATGAGGCTTAGCCAAAAAAACAGCACTTCTCCCCTTTCTCCCCCCCCCCCCACCCAAAAAGCTACACACACAGCTTGCTTGTTAAGCGTGTCTTCATTCTTACTTTCCACACTGTCAGTATTTATTCATGGTGGTGCTGAGATTGCAGCATGCAAAGTGGAAACTTTTGACCATCCAATGCAAAGGGTTAAAAATAGTTTACTCCATCACTCTCCTGTGCTTGTTCTGTTGCATTGTCCCACCTTCCATACATCTTCCAGGTCATTTGTATCAAACTCACTTGGGGAATAGAGGTGTTGACCGTTTCATTATTGGCAAGTTGAGTGTACAGAAGGAACAAGAGCAGCTGCAGAAAGCAATGATGGTTTGCTAAAGACATTTACATGCCTCTGGGAACACGTCCAGTCTTGAAGTGACTAAGCTCCTTATTCTACCTAGTCCAATGGGTTGGAGTACCACGTTTTAAATAATGCTATAGCAGAACTCCTTCTTTTAAACTCTGAATCGTTTAGGTTTGTCTTTATATCCTGTACTGAGAATATATTTTTATATTGGCAAAAATGAAATACTAACTTATTTTTATGTTGTGAACTTTCCCCAGTACTGCGAGGAAAATGGCTCATACTAATACAGTTCTATAGCTAAACAGATATTGTAAAGGTTTTTACATCCAATTTGCATTAAAACTGTTACACCTATACCTCGATATAATGCTGTCCTCGGGAGCCAAAAAATCTTACCACATTATAGGTGAAATAGCGTTATATTGAACTTGCTTTGATCCGCCGGAGCGCGCAGCCCTGCCCCCCCGAAGCACTGCTTTACCGCGTTATAACACGAATTCGGATGTATCGGGTGGCGTTATATCGAGGTAGCGGTATATCTGATGGTCAAAGATCCTCTGAATTCTAAGTATGTAGTGGTGTGGTGGGTTATTTTTTTAAATCTCTGTTGAAAAGAATTTTTTTCCCCCCAAAGCCACCATTTTGGCTCCTAGGAAGCTATTAAAATGAAAAATAAAAGACACATTAAAATCAAAGTCGATAGAACTAACTTTATTTTTGATGACTGAGAAGTTCAGCTTAGGAAATGTAAGGGGTTTGGTGAGACAAGGTGGGTGAGACAATATCTCCTGTTGGACCAAGGCTATTTGGTGTTGCAGAATTCATGTGCAGTGTATGCAGCATATATTTGTATTGTTCACTTTCCTATTTGCTGTACTTTACAAATGTCCTTTGTTTTGAAAACCCACCCACAGTTATGATGGGACAGAACCACTCATTGTGGTGGTAGAGGCTCGGGGCTTGTCTACACTAACAGTGGTGCAGCTGCAGCGCTTAGTGAAGATGCTACCTATGCTGCTGGGAGAATTTCTCCTCTCAGCATAGATACTCCCCTCTCTCCCCCCCAAGAGGCGGTATCTGTGTTGGTGAGAGAAGCCCTCCTGTCAACATAGCGCGCTCTACACCGGGTGCTAGGTCAGCAGGGGTGGGTAGTGTGAACCAAGCCTCAGACACAGAGATCCTCTGACCAGGCAGGGAGCAGCAGCCAGCTTCCTTAGCTAGTTGTGAAGATTCCTGCACCCTGCTGCTGCTGGCCTCTCACTGGACCCAGATGGATTCAAAGTGCTGCTCCAGCTGCCACAGACAAGTCACACATGCAGCAAAGAGAAGAGCAAACTAGTGCAGCGGGGTGGGATCAGGTGGCGGCAGCAGGTAGGTTCCCAAGGAGAACAGAAGGGCACTGCATTGCACACAGGCTTCTTCTGGGGAGAGGTTGAGAGAAAGAATGAACCCCATGTGGTAGATGTTTGGTTACGTCATTTAATGTCCTCCTGGAAGGCATTCAAATACTATAGCAATGTGGGCAGCATAAGACCCCATATAGAAAAGAATCAAATCAAAGGGGAGAGCAGAGTTGAGAGGAGTGGCAGGGGTGAATGTGTTCCGTAAGTGGGCTGGCGTGCATTCTATTACTGGATGCGGGGCCTAGAAAGAATGCATGGGAGAAAGTCTGTTATATTGAGAGAGCAAAGTTCTAGGGGACTTCCTTCCCCGGACCACTCTTCTTAGGGCTCTTTCTCCCAAAAGAGCTTTTTTTTTTAATGGGGATAGAGGGAGCTACAAAGTGTTCAGACTTACTGAGTTGGCTCTTATGAGATTTTTTTCCCCCTTGGTCTTACCAGTTTGTACTAATGTTTTATTGATAACCTATGTTATCAGCAAATACAATTATCCTGTATCATTTTGAAGTATCACTTGGTTAACATTCAGAACTGAAGCCATATCTTTTTATGTTTGAGCAGATTTCTTCTGAGGGAGGCTTACTGGTAGAGGCACTCTGACTTCATGATGAGGGTCTCCTATTACTCTGACTGTGTGAATTACCGTTTGCTGGTAGAAATTGGCCAGTGGCTGCATGTTCTCATCAGTACACTAGTATCATTTCACTTTCCAACCTTTCTCTCCTAGGTGTTCTTTACTTAATGGAACATGAGGAAGAATATGTGTTCACTCTGCCTAGTGCCTATGCACGTTCTATACTTACCATTCCATGGGTGGAGCTTGGAGGGAAAATCAGTATTAACTGTGCCAAGACTGGCTATTCTGCTACTGTCACATTCCACACCAAGCCTTTCTATGGAGGAAAAGTTCACAGGTATTGAAACTGCTGTCTAGTGGGTTGCTTCCTTTTGTACTGTATGTTAGAGTGTACTTGAAAACTTTTTCAGTTTTCTGTATTTATTACTGTAAAATTGTGTGGGTGTGTTTGTGTGTAATTAATAGGCAAAGGCCAAATTGAATTTATAAAATGTTTTAAAAAATAAAACAAAACCTTCTTGCATCTGCCAGCACTTCATTACAGCTTTTCCATTTAAAAAAAAATGGTTTAAAATGTGATTTGTAGGTTTGAAAAAAAACAAATATAGATACTTTGAATCTGGGACCTTTCACATCAGTATGTAACAATGTTAAGGTTCTGGGGTGTCAGATTTTGAGCTTTAATATCTGGATGTATTTTTAACATAATGTTAAGTGTCTCTCTTCAGTCCACTGTAGCAAACAAATTCTGAGTTAGCGCTGAAAACCCAGACAGATGTGTATTTTTAACTCAAGCCACAGCTATGCTAGAAGATCTATGGCTGGAATATCTCAGCACAGATCTACCACACAGTCTGCACTTGCTCTCTTTGATGCAGCAAAGTCAGATTTCTGTTTGTAATTTAAACATATCTGTTTGCAGTTGATTTTTAAAATTGCTTGGACACTCAGACTCATAGACTTTAAAGTCAGAAGCGACCATCATGATCATCTACTCCGATCTCCTCCTGCACATTGCAAGGCCCAGAACCTTACCCACCCACTCCAATAACTCAGCCAGAGGTTACGGGTCTATTACAGAAGTCTTCAAATCAAACTACGGCCCCTGGGACGGATCCAGCCCATGAGCCGTTTTAAGCTGGCCCGTGAACTCCCGTTGGGGAGTGGGGTCTGGGGCTTGCCCCACGCCAGCTGGGGTACAGGGTCGGGGGCTGCTCCCCGTGGCTCCCGGAAGCCACAGCATGGTCCCGCAATGGCCCCCTCCAGCACTCCAATGGGAGTTGCAGGGGCAGTGCCTGCAGATTGGGTAGTGTGCAGAGCCACCTGGCCGTGCCTCTGCATAGGAGCCAGAGAAGGGACATGCTGCTGCTTCTGGGAGCCGCTTGAGGTAAGTGCCACTTGGAGTCTGCACCCCTGAGCCTGTCCCCAAGCCCCAACCTCCTGCCCCAGCCCTGATCCCCCTCCCACCCTCCAAACACCTCGATCCCAGCCGGGAGTACCCTCCTGCACTCCAAATCCTTCATCCCCAGCCCCACCTTAGAGTCCACACCCCCCAACCAGAGCCCTCATCCCCTCCCGCACCCCAACCCCAATTTTGTGAGCATTCATGGCCCACCATACAATTTTTATTCCCCGATGTGGCCCTCGGGCCAAAAAGTTTGCCCATCCCTGGTTTAAAGACTTCAAGTTACAGAGAATTCATCATTTGCACTAGTTTAAACCTGCAAGTAACCCATGCTGCAGAGGAAGACGAAAACCCCTCAGTGTTTCTGCTAATCTGACCCAGGGGAAAATTCCTTCCAGACTCCACATATGACGATCAGTTAGACCCTGAGCATGGGCAAGACCCACCAGCCAGACACCTGGGAAAGAATTCTCTGTAGTAACTCAGAGCCCTCCCCATCTAGTGTCCCATCACCGGCCATTGGAGATATTTGCTGCTACCAGTCGCAGATCAGCTACATGCCATTGTAGACAGTCTCATCATGCCATCCCCTCCATAAACTTATCAAGCTCAGTCTTGAAGCTAGTTAGACGTTTTGCTCCCACTGCTCCCCTTGGAAGACTGTTCGAGGACTTCACTCCTCTGATGGTTAGAAACCTTTGCCTAATTTCAAGCCCAAACTTGTTGATGGCTGGTTTATATCTATTTGTTCTTGTGTCCACATTGGTGCTGAACTTAAATAATTCCTCTCCCTCCCTGGTATTTCTTCTACTGATGTATTTATAGAGAGCAATCATATCTCCCCTCAGCTTCTTTGGTTAGGTTAAACAAGCCAAGCTCTTTGAGTCGCCTCTCATAAGGTAGTTTTTCCATTCCTCAGATCATCCTAGTAGCTCTTGTGTGCACCTGTTCCGGTTTGAATTTAGTGGATTATAGTCCTTTTAATATGGTGGCACTAAGATAAACTGTATATTTTATTGTGGCTTTTGTTATATTGGAATTAGGGTTACAGCAGAAGTGAAACACAATCCCACCAATACCATCGTGTGTAAGGCACAAGGAGAATGGAATGGCACACTGGAATTTACATACAGCAATGGAGAAACCAAAGTGATTGACACCACCAAACTGCCCGTTATCCGAAAAAAGATTAGACCAATAGCAAAACAAGGTCCATTTGAATCAAGGTGAGGTTATGGACATCATAACCGTTTATGAAGCTTGGACAAAAACTTAATATGGAAGCAACCTTTGTATATTCATGTGTGATTCAGTAAAGCTCTTGTTTTGGGTAGTATAAATTCTTATAGGCAGAGAGTAGGGAAAGCTGCATACACAGATTTTTCAGAGCTACTTTTGATACATAAACTGCAATATGACTGCTGTTCAGTTATTAAATGAAAAATGCTAGTGCGGATTTCATAAAGTTTAAAAATGAAAGGTAATCAATGCAATTTCTATGTCTGCTTCATTGTGAGTAGTTGCTGAATTGTCATTTCTACATATTCAATTTCATGTCTATTTCTCACAGCTATATATTAGAACTATTGACTGTACACAACATAAAAATACTTTAAAAAATTGTCATGCATCCACACCTTTTACCTGACTTTTTGACGCACTATATCAGAGAACTTGTGTTAGAATTTACTGTAAATATTTGTCTATGTATTTGTCACTAGAAGACCAATATTTTATTCAATTATAATGTCGCACCTGTTAATTGCCATTTGAGAGAGTCTTAAAGAGCATGAATGAATGAAGCTTCACCTTGTAGTGAATGAATACATTCTATCCATTTTACAAATGGGTGCACTTGGTCAGAAATGTTCTAGCTAATAGACATGCTCCCTCTCTCATAAATGCTATTTTTTTTTTTTTTTTGCTGTATCCCAGCCAGAAAAACATGAGTGTGAATGAGGAAGCCAGCAGTTCCAGTGTGCATCTGTTTTATTTTTAACACTAGCAGATGGACTGTAAATACTCAGTCCCTGTCTGAATAGTCACAATTTAATAAATTTTAAATAATGGCTCACTTAAACACCACTAAAAATTACACATTACAAAAGTTATGCTCTGAAGCAGAAGAACTTAAGTGTTCTGATAACTTTTGGTCCATATTGCTACATGTTGCACAACATTACTATTTGCACTCTGAATTTGGGTTCTGTGCTGGCCAGACACACGGTTCGTTCATATGCATACTGTCAAACAGATAAGGACCAAATTTGGTTCTAAACTGAACATTATTGTAACCTGGTAGGGACTGTCCTTGATATCTTATCTTCCTAAGTTCAGAAGTAGAAGCTTTTTAAAGTAACAGATGCAAAAGAACTGTGGTGAGCTTCGGTGAGCTTCCTCTGCCAACCAGCGCACAGGTCAAACTCTGCACGGTATCTTCATTAATGAACTACACACAGGTCTGGACACAAAGCAGTTCTCAAAAATTGTCATGTTGATTTGAAGATGTGGGTCCAAGGTTTCAAGAGCTGAGCACCCAACAGCTCCCAGTCAGGCACCTAAATGAAGTAGCCAGATATTGAGTGCTGAACACATTTGAAAATCAGCTCCATAGTTTAATACGATGGGGTGAGAGAATTCACACTTGCTAAATAGGAGGAAAATACATGTATTTTTGAGCTTTAAAATATTATAAACAATATACATGTTAAACCATGACTGCAGTAAAAGTAGTTAAGTGTCCTTTAAAATACAATGAAAAGGATTAAAAAAGTGATACACCTCTACCCCAATGTAACGCGACCCAATATAACATGAATTCGGATATAAGGTGGTAAAGCAGCGCTCCAGTGGGCCAGGGCTGCGTGCTCTGGCGGATCAAAACAAGTTCAATATAACGCAGCTTCACCTATAACGTGGTAAGGCTCCTGAGGACAGCATTATATCAGGGTAGAGGTGTAGTTCAAAGTCTGTTTGAGATGGTACAAGTAGAGTGCCAGATAATGAACAAAAAGAACGAGGAGTACTTGTGGCACCTTAGAGACTAACAAATATATTTGAGCATAAGCTTTCGTGGGCTACAGCCTACTTCATCAGATGCATGTAGTGGAAAATACAGTAGGAAGCTATATATATACACACACACACACAGAGAACATGAAAAAATAAGTGTTGCCATACCAACTGTAACGAGAGTAATCAATTAAGGTGAGCAATTATGAGCAGGAGGAAAAAGAACTTTTGTAGTGATAATCAGGATGGCCCATTTCCAACAGTTGACAAGAAGGTGTGAGTAACAGTAGGGGAAAAAATTAGCATGGGGAAATAGTTTTAGTTTGTGTAATGACCCATCCACTCCCAGTCTTTATTCAAGCCTGATTTAATGGTGTCCAGTTTGCAAATTAATTCCAATTCTGCAGTTTCTCATTGGAGACTGTTTTTGAAGTTTTTTTGTTGGAGTATTGCGACTTTGAGGTCTGTAATTGAGTGACCAGGGAGGTTGAAGTGTTCTCCGACTGGTTTTTGAATGTTATAATTCTTGACGTCTGATGTGATGAACACACCATCATTATATGAAAAAGAATTGGCAAGTTTATCCTGCAATTGTATATTTCTCTTTACAAGGCACTGTACTGTTGCTGAGGAGTTCTCATTCTATTTTGTCTGTGTTTATCTGTGATCAATCACTCAGGCATCTTTGGCAACATGTCACCAACTCCCTGAAAGACGGCAATATCGATGCAGCAACGGAGCACAAGCACCGCCTGGAGGAAAGGCAGCGAGCAGAGGAGAGGCAACGTGTGGCTATTAATACACCCTGGAAACCAAAATATTTTACCAACGAGGTAATGTGAATCACACCAAAGCATTTCTTTGTTCTTTTAAGATAGGAATGTAATGGAGTTCCACAGTACAGTGAGGAGTGTGTGTGTGCAAACAATTAAAATCAGCTTTTGATTTGTATCCTTGTGATTGTGACTAAATCTCTCTGATCTTTCCAAACTTTGACTCCTAAAAAACAATCATTGAGACATTTATTTTAGATTTTGTAAAACTTGTTCTCCTTTTTAAGCTGTCTTTTACCTGCCTTCGGTTAAATGTATTTATGCCTGAATTTTTATAAATTTGGTCTCTATGATTAGACATCTAAATCCATATTTTTGACCATTTAAAAATAAAAAGCTTGATGCTCAGCAATGGCTCAAAGACTTTAAGGTCAGAAAGGACCATCATGATTATCTTGTTTGACCTCTAGCACATTGCAGGTCACAGAACCCCACCCCCCACTCCTGTGATAGACCCCTAACAGCTGGCTGAATTACTGAAGTCTTCAAATCATGATTTAAAGACTTCAAGTTACAGAGAATCCACAATTTACCCTAGTTTAAACCTGCAAGTGACTCATGCCCCATGCTGCAGAGGAAGGCAAACTTCCCCCCCCCCCGACCCCCGGGCTCTCTGCCAATCTTACCTAGGGGGAAAATTCCTTTCCGACCCCAAATATGGTGATCAGTTAGACCCCACTTGAGACCTTCCTTCAATCTGACATCATTCCATTAATAGCTACTTTTTGTTTGTGGTTGTTTAACCAATTATGTATTCACTTAACGGTAGTTCTGTCAAGTCCACATTTCTCCAGCTTACTTATCAGATTGTCATGTGGGACTGTGTCAGAAGCCTTGCTGAAGTCCACCACATTCCCCCTATCCACCAAATCCGTTACCCTATCAAAGAAAGAAATCAAACTGGTTTGGCATGATTTCTTCTTGATAAATCCATGTTGGCTGCTAGCGATTACCCCTTCATCCTCCAGGTATTTGCAAACTGAATGTTTTTTACATTGCTCTAGTAGCTTCCCAGGTATTGAAGTCCGGCTGACTGGTCTATAGTACCTCATCATCTCCTTTCCCCCCCTTTTAAAGATGGGCACTTCTCCTGTCACCTCTCCTGTCTCACATGAGTTTGTAAATATTATTGCTAGTGGCTCTGAGATTTCTTCAGCTAATTTCTTCAGTAACCTGAGGTGAATAGCATGTGGCCCCGCTGATTTGAATTCATTCAAGTTGGTTAAAAGATCTCTGACATGTTCTTTACTTATCCCAATCTGCATCCCTTCCCCTTTATGGAAGAGTCTATGGTAACTAGGACCTAGATTAAAGCTCAGGTTAGCCAGATGATGTCTTGAGATGCTCTTCCCAGTAGTTGATAATGGAGCCATCCCAGCACAGTAATCCTCTTTCCTGGAACATCAGCTCTTTGTTGAAGAAGCCAAAGCCCTCTCGCCAACACCACCTGAGTAGCCACACAGTCTCTACCCAGGCGTTTTCATTCAACAGGGAGAATGGATGAGAACACCACTTGTGCCCCAAACTCTTTTATTCTTCTTCCCAGAGCCATGTAGTCTGTAGGGATCCACTCAAGGTCATTCTAGGCAGTATCGTTGGTGCCCACATGGATAAGTAGGAAGGGGTAGCAGTCCGAGGCCTTGATGAGTCTCAGTGGCAATTCTAGCTCTAGGCAAGCAGCACACTTCTTGGGATTCCTACTCTGGACAGCAGATGGATGACTCTGTCCCCCAAATAAAGAAAAAAAACTAGTAAGAGGACCAAAAAAACCAAACGCACGCCACCATTGCTAAACAGAGTGAAAGAGGCAGTTTTGAGACAAAAAGACATGCTTTAAAAATTGGAGGTCAAATCCTACTGAGAAAAATAGACAGGAACATAAACTCTGGCAAGTCAAGTATAAAAGTATAATTAAGCAGGGCAGAAAAGAATTTGAAGAGTAACTAATAAAAGTCATACAAACAAACAGCAACATATTTTTAATGTACATCAGAAGCAGGAAGCCTCCCAAACAATCAGTGGGGCCATTGGACGATTGAAGTGCTAAAGGAGCATTCAAGGAAGATAAGGTCATTGTGGAGAAGCAAAATGAATTATTTGCATCGGTTTTCACTGCAGAGGATGTAGGGTGGGGAGAGATTCCCAAACCTGAGCCATTCTTTTTAGGTGAGAAATCTGAGGAACTGCCCCCAGATTGAGGTATCAATTGGAACAAATTGATAAATTAAACAGTAATAAGTCACCAGGACCAGATGGTTTTCACCCAAGAGTTCTGAAGGAACTCAAATATGAAATTGCACAATTACTAACAGTGATATGTAATCTATCACTTAAATCAGCCTCTGTACCAGATGATTGGCTGATAGTTAATTTATAACGCTGATTTTTAAAAAAGGCTCCAGAGATGATTCTGGCAATAACAGGCCAGTAAGCCTAACTTCAGTACCAGACAAATTGGTTGAAATTATAGTAAAGAACAGAATGATCAGTTACATACATGAACATAATAATTTGGGGAAGAGTCAGCAGGGCTTTTGTAAAAGGAAATCATGCCTCACCAATCGATTAGAATTCTTTGTGGGTGTCAACAAGATGTGGACAAGGGTGGCCCAGTGGATACAGTGTACTTGGACTTTCAGAAAGCCTTTGACAAGATCCCTCTCCAAAGGCTCTTAAGCAAAGTAAGCAGTTATGGGATAAGAGAGAAGGTCCTCTCATGGATCAGTAACTGGTTAAAAGTTAGGAAACAAAGGATAGGAATAAATGATCAGTTTTCACAGTAGAGAGAGGTAAATTGTGGGGTCCCCCAAGGATCTGTACTGGGACCCATGCTGTTCAGCATCTTCATAAATGATCTGGAAAATGGGATAAACAGTGAGGTGGTAAAGTTTGCAGATGATACAAAATTACTCAAGATAGTTAAATCCAAAACTGACTGCGAAGAATTACAAAGGGATCTCACAAAACTGGTGACTGGGCAACAAAATGAAATTTGAGATGAAATTCGGTGTTGATAAATGCAAAGTAATGCACATTGGAAAACATAATCCCAACTATACATACAAAATGATGGGGTCTAGATTAGCTGTTGCCACTACAGAAAGAGATATTGGTGTCACTGGGGATAATTTTCTGACAACATCCACTCAGTGTGCAGTGGCAGTCAAAAAAGCTGACAGTGTTAGGAACCATTAGGAAAGTGATAGAAAATAAGACAGCAAATATCATCATGCCACTATATAAATCCATGGTATGCCCACATATTGAATACTGCATGCAGTTCTGGTTGCCCCATCTCAGAAAAGATAACTTAGATTTGGAAAAAGTACAGAGAAGGGCAACAAAAATTATTAGGGGGTATGAAACAGCTTCCATATGAAGAGAGATTAAAAAGACTGTTCAGTTTATCATATCCCCCTTTAGTTGTCTTTTTGCTAGAAGTCTGTAAAATCAAGAATGGTGTGGTGAAAGTGAATAAAGAAGTGTTCTTTACTTCTTCATGTAACACAAGAACCAGGGGTCACTGAATGAAATTAATGGGCAGCAGGTTTAAAACAAACATAATGAAGTACTTCTTCACACAACGCACAGGCAACTTGTGGAACTCATTGCCAGGGGATGTTCTGAAGGTCAAAAGTATAACTGGATTTAAAAAAATTAGACACATTAATGGAGGATAGGTCCATCAATAGCTATTAGTCAAGATGTACTAGTTATTAGTCAAGGGACGGAACTCCATGAACTGGGTTTTCCTAAACCTCTGACTTCCAGAAGATGGGATTGGAGGATAGGGGATGAATCACTCAATAATTGCCCTGTTCTGTTCATTCCCTCTGAAGTATCTAGCACCAGCCACTGTCGGAAGACAGGATATTGGGCTAGATGGACTTCTGGTTTGACTAGTATGGCCATTTTTACATTCTTATGTGAATAGTACCATTGGACACAATGGGATTATTCATGTACATTGCATGATGGGGACAGTAAGAAAGAATTAACAGTTAAGCCCTTTAGATCTGGGTGTTAGGATTTCACTGTCCCTGTCAGCAGCAGTGTCTGGATGCTCCAGTGACTTTAAAAAGGAAAGTGGAGGACAAAAATCAGACAATTGAGAAGAAAATCACTGTTACTAATACCATTGAAAGTTTATTACATGGAAATATTTTTAACAATTCTGCGATGTTTACTCTATTCATCTTGGATGATGAAACTAGATTGGTCACTTCATTTTCTTGTTCTGATGCCCTAGCTCAAGCTGGCTGTTTGGGTTTCCACAATTGCAAAGAAATGTTTAGCTTCTTTTAAAGAAGTGGAGGAAAATATTACATTGATCTGTTTTTTCATCTTATCTGTTACTGACATTTTTAGTGTTTTTTGTTTACAAAATTTAAAATATGCATCTAAACTACTTCAGTGGTTTTTTAGATAGTTGGATCCAGAGGCTTTAAGTGTTAGGAAACTACATCCAGAAGGGTCTGGATAATGAAATCCCAAGCTCTAGCATATTACAAATAATTGTGTATTGAAATATGTGACTCTATAGACTAAATGGTAATCCTTATTCTTGTAGTTCCCATTTACAGCCCCCATTATCAGTGGTGGAAGTTGTTCTGCAGATTGAGGGTAGGATATGATCTAATATATTCAGGCCCTTTTACGATTTTTGTGGAAGTTTGAGCAAGATATTTTTGAACCATGTCTAGTAATACTCCTGGCACCGTTGATTAATTCTTTGTATGGAATGGAAATGAGGTAAAAATATTCTCTTCCTTTTGCAGATGCAGAATATGATAAAATGCAAAGAAAATACTTGTTTTCAAAACAACTTCATATTTAAATAGGCACTGTCAAGTTTTTCAAAAATAGAAAAACTAAGAAAATTCCAGTTTTTGATAAGAGCACCATTGAGCTAGCACAACTTAGAATTTTTTCTAAAACATTCTTGTCAAGAAATTTTTAAGGTTTTATTATCTTCCACTGCTGATAGTTGTAAGGACTTTTTCAACACGGGTGAAACTCACTCTCCACACGCAGTGTTGTCTGTTGTACAAAATAAAGTGTAAAAGGCTTTCACTAAAACCATTTAGTTTTAGCAGTCTTACGTGTTATTTGTAATTGTAGTAGGTACAGGGTTTTCAGACAGCCATATCTTGACAGTATTCCTTTAGCTTCTATTGAATCTGTTTTAGTAGTGTGTTGTATATCTTTTTTTAAAAATTGAATGGTAAAATTTGTAAAATCTCCCTAATTTTCTTACAGGGTGACGGTTGGATATACTTCAGTCCCCTCTGGAAGTCCCATTGACAAGACAGAACGCACTGTTGTCTCATAACAAACCCATCTTAGAGGCATTAAAATGATGCAGTATATAACCTTCAGGTGTCATTGAATAGCTTTGTTACAACAAGATACAAATAAGAAGCTATATACTGTGATTGATGAATCTCAAAACAGCTACAAGCTCAAGTTTATTCAACAGCCATTTTGTGTGTGTATATACACACACACACACACACACACACACACACACACACACACTGTGTGTTGATATATATATATCAACACGTTATACACGCACTAACAATGATTAAGGTCCTGATCCTTTAAACATTATGTGCACAGAACTTCCATTGAAGTCAATGAGAGTTCGGTGTGTTGTCTGCTTGTGGGATCAGGCCCTGTGTTGGCAATTAAGAATACTTTTTTATTAGTACAGTTTGAGGTTTTGTATTTTTCACTTTGCCAAAAACATTTTGCACTTATAAAATGTGACTTGTCATTGGCAGTCATTCAGAGTCTAAATGGTGGTCAAATGGCTCACTTCAAGTGACCTAAGCAAGATACATTTGGGATATTGATTTAAGAGCATGTTTTCTGGCCTTGTGACTCACTTATAAGCATGCATTTCTTGCCATCTTATAAAAAGTAGCAATACCATTGCAAGAACCTTGTTTGTACTAATCCATTGTTCTCCTTTTTTTCTGTTTGTATTCCAAAGAGATGCTTAATATTTTGCAAGGCCATTTGTCAGCCCCTTGACCGTGGGAAAGGGGATCTCTCTGTGAAACACCACTGGCAGTGGTTATGCTAGGGAATGCCGATGTCATTGGGTGAACCTGCTTTACAGCCCATCAGTCTTGTGTTATAGCTTTAAGCAGTCCTGTATTTTTGGTTCTTCTCTTTTTTTTAGGCCCTGCTGATTGCTTTGTGACATTTTCTCAGAAAATGCTACTTTTACACCAGGCATTATTTGCTAACCTACTACTTCATGGTGAAATAAGGGCTTTAGTAAATTAACAAATAATACTGGGGGCAGTGATTTGTTTTGTAATGTAAAAATCTATAGCTTGACTTTACTTTGTAAGTAAACCACTGAGAGATGAAGAAAGTGAACTTCTAAAAATATACAGTGTATTAACGCTTAGCTGCATTTCAGTTAAAGTGAGATGTATCGATTCTTCAAGAGAAAGTACAGTAATGGACAAAAATATAGTAAACTGACTTCTGCTCAGTGCTTAATTTACTTTTACAGTGACCCTTATAAACACCATTATATTTCTAACTTTCAGTAGCATGAATGCCTAACTTTCAGTAGTACTGGCTAATTTTGTGCCTTTTGTCTGCTTTCTTAATACAGCTGCTTGTAGATACTAGACAAATATATTTAGTTGACGCATTGCTCATCTGTTCATGTGCTCAAACTAGCATTTTATGTTAGTTATTTTTGGTAGATATTAAGGTTACTTAGATAAGTCAGAAAGTTATACAGTACTCAGGTGTATATGTAATTGAATGCACCATTCATTGTTAACTTGGAATTGGCCTTCAATAGATCTTTCAACCTAATGAGCTTCAGATCTCTATTAAATAGCTTGTAGTGTCCTTCATCTCTTAAAGCCACATTGTATCTGTCTGTACATACTTTTCTCTGCACATAAAAATCTAGGTTTTTTCCTTAAATGTTTTAAAACCTATTTTAAAGAAATGTAGACTGTACAGGATCAGTTTTAATGTACAGAAATATTGTTTGTAAGGAAAGCTTTATTTTTAGGTATAGTGGATGCTTTTCTGTAATTATTATGTCAAAATGATGCCCCTGTGATAAGAGATGAACTTACAGGTAACTTCAGGAAATTCATATAGTTTGTGGTCTGCAGGAACTCATTTATATTGCTTGGGGCCACTCTTGTTTTAAAGAGGTTAGTCTGGTAAGTAACTGGAAACATTAACAAGTTATAACGTCGATTGGATTATGAAGAACAGTCTAAAATGCAGAATTAAACAGATCATAATTGGAGTACACCCTCAAAACTGTAGCTTTAATTTTCAAACACCAAAGAACTTGGCCATGCATTGATTACAAAGAGGAATTTGAGACCTCAAACGTTTGTTAGCAGTGCAGGACTGGACCTTTCCTTATTCATGGTATGACTATCAATGCTACGAAGATGCTGTAGCTCTTATTTTAAGGTGAATTTTAACTAATTTTGGACTTCTAATTTATTAAGGGTTTCTTCTCTGCATGGTTATTTGCTACCGCATGGCGAGACTATTCCATTTATGCTCCGATAAAACTTTTGATTGTATTTTAATGCTGTGAAGAACCCTCGGATGCCGTTACCACTGTCTGCTTTCTAAAATAAATCCCGTGAGGCAAGCACAGTGCTCATGTTTGAAATATCTGAATCAAAAACAGATTTCAAAAATAAATTCAAGAAGTGTCTTCACTTTATTTTTTCTGATTAAATAAAATATATATTCTATGTATTACATAATGATAGGACAAGATTTTGAATATTAAGCAGTAACCAGCCTTATTCTGTAGGTTATTCCAATGTCTGTCTTGCACCTGCAAGTGAATAATTTTTGGGTAGCTGGTGTAAACTTTGAAATGTAATGTGACTCTCAACGTGTTTCAGATCTACCTTTTTTATGCACACATGTAGAACCTATGCAATCTTTTCTTCCTTAAAGTAGAACTGTTCAGCCAAAAAATGTAAGTTTATCGTTTAAAATTTTAAAATACTCTGGCAGTCACTTCTGATTAGCCTTCCTTTCACAATTTATGTGAATTAAAATTACATAAAGTGACATCACTGTCAATAAATGATTCTTTCAGTTAGTGGTTTGGATGCTGTTGCTTTCCATTGAAATATTGAGTTAAAATGGCACCATTTGCTCAAAGGTCTGTAGATGTACAATATTTCTTTACCACATTCAATTGCATATGGGATCTGCTTCCATTGAAATCTTGTGTTTCTGCTGAGAATGCATGATATCGAACAGGGAACATTGTTTTAAATTAATTTTAAACAGCTGGCTTGCTAGATGTGGGGGAAGAGGTGGCAGCTAGTGGCTGGGGTAGCACCACCCAACTGCAGGTAAGGATGGGGTGTGAACTGTGCAGAGAAGCCCTGGTGATGATTCTTGCAATGACTCCAACAATTAGTCTTAATTAATTTTGGGGTGGTAATATGCCTTATGTTGATCAACTGGGAGACCCTTAGAAAGGATATTATCAAGGTTTATCTAACTTCCTGAAGATCACTTTTATTCATTCGTTAGATTACTAAATGTATCTTTCTGTAAAAAAATCCTTGCCAAGATCGATTCCTGCTCCTCCCGTGAAACTTGATGAGTTCCTATAGATAACATTCAAACAGCAGCTCTGGATAATGGGATTCATGCCCTTCTATTACCAGTGGATGCGTTTTCTCCGACAAATACAAATATGAATTCAACAGTTAAAATTTGGGTCTAAACCATTTAGAGTCTCTCTAATTTTGTATGATTAAAAATGTGAGGGGAGAGGAGGAGAAAGAAGTTTACACAATCTAATATGAATTTTTTTTCAGTTTCACTGAAGACAGTTTAGATTTGAAATATTCTTCCACTGTTGAAAATCCACACACCATAACCTTGGCCTGAGAACCAGAAAAAGAAACTGGCTGCAAAGATGACTCAACAGCACATATTGCACAGCCAGCTGCCCTTTCCAGCACATGGCTTCATTGCTATGGTGCTGAAGATGGACATACCTCAGACAGACAAGCTTGGTTCTGATGTATATTTCCTTTGGAGCTTTTGTTATATAGATCTAGTCTTGAGCTCTGTTCTTAAACAATTCTGGCAAAGCTGAGACCTCAGCGGGTGGCACTGATGCTATCACAGTCTATATTCACTCAAGTCTATGTAGGATGAACAACAGGGACAAGCAGGAGTGACCTAGATGAGCTGGAGAAATCTGGTGGGAAGATCTATTCCACTTATGTTCTGATAACTTTAAACTATAAGACTTTACTCCTGAGGGAATTCTGTGCCCCCCCCCCCCCAAAAAAAAATCCTGCACACAATATTTTAAAATTAAGCAACTTTTATTTGTCAATAAATAAAAGTGGCTCCAGCATGGGAGCGGAGAGCACAGGCACTGACTGCATTGAGGTGGGAGATCACCCTGAAGCCTCCACCAGTACAGGGACTGGGCAGTAAGGCTGCCCCTGACATTGTTTAGTTTGGAAAAGAGAAGACTGAGAGGGGACATGATAGCAGTTTTCAGGTATTTAAAAGGGTGTCATAAGGAGGAGGGAGAAAACTTGTTCACCTTAGCCTCTAAGGATAGAACAAGAAGCAATGGGCTTAAACTGCAGCAAGGGAGGTCTAGGTTGGACATTAGGAAAAAGTTCCTAACTGTCAGGGTGGTTAAACACTGGAAAGCCTAGGGAGGTTGTGGAATCTCCATCTCTGGAGATATTTAAGAGTAGGTTAGATAAATGTCTATCAGGGATGGTCTGGACAGTATTTGGTCCTGCCATGCGGAAAGGGGACTGGACTCGATGACCTCTCGAGGTCCCTTCCAGTCCTAGAATCTATGAATAGTGCAAGGGCTGGGCCGGGCCTTCTGCACCAGGTGTGGGCAGACAGGCTCAGCCCAGCAGGATCCAAGTGTGGGGCAATCTGGGTGCACAGGGGCTCAGTGGTGGTTCCAGGTGCAGAGGTAATGGGACTCTGCAGGGGATCCAGGTAGTGGTTGAGGCCCAGTTGGGGGGGGGGGGTTGGAGTGCTTGAGGAGTGGGGCTTGATGGGGTGGCGGTCCAGGTGGGGGACTTGGCAGGGCAAGGGTTCAGTGACCCTGCTGAAGGGACAACCCATGCTAGGCTCCTGCTTCCCTTATCCCCTTTTCTTTGCCACCCTCCCTCCCACATTTCCCCCACCACTCCCTGTAGCACAGAAAACAGAAAGGCTCCCAGCACACAGAAAGGGAGTGCGACTGGCACTAGGACCCAGTTCTACAAGCCCTCTTCCCAATTCCAGCTGTTTGGGTAGGGACAGGCCAAGTGGTGGTGGATAATACTTGGACTCAAATGGGCCAAAGGATTCATCTGATTCTAAATGCATGTTTGTTAGGGAAGTGCATTAAGACAGCAAAAACTTACAGGGGAAGAGCCTTTCCAGTTTTGGCAGATTTCCAAGGAAGCTCATTGAGCTGAAACTGGGCAAGATTTTTATCTCTGAGCCATGCCTAAGGCATGAGCCAAGAACCTGTGCCCAAGAAGGTTGTTTTGGACCAGTGACTGATGGGTGGGGCAGAGCTAGCTAGTCTTGAAGGGGGTAGCGCACATTTCTTAACTCCAGGTAACAGCTACTCTTTGCCCAGTCTTCCCATGATGTCTTTGTTGTAGAGGTGGCTCTGCTCAAGGAGTGACTAGCTGCAATTATGATACCGTGCCCCAGAATCTTGACCTGTGATGTTAGGATTCATTTAGAATCCCCCTTTGGATTTTCACCACTGGGACTGCCATCCTTGAAGGCTTGGTAATCTATAACTCAATAGCCAGGTGGAGCTTTGAAAGGCTCAACCCTGGGAAATTTACATCTGCAACACAGAGCAGGAGCTTAAGCTAGTACATACTGGTCTGCCATTAGATTCAGATGCTCTGTGCTGCTGATGCATGCCACAATGGTGAGTTCTGCTGCCTCAAAGGTGGACAGTTGTAGATTTGCCTGGTGGCAGATGTTTAGGTTCCACCTAGAGGACAGCAGACTTCCATGTCAATGACTGACAACCAGAACACCTCTCCGCACTCTGTGGTCAAACCACAGAACCAGCAGCTGAAGTATGTTATTCAGTAAGCATAAGAAAAACTGATTTTCAAATGTTTGTGTAATTACGCCACCATTCCACTAGTACCTGGCAAGAAACTCCCTATTGGAGGCAGATGAAGTATTTTACCCATACTGTTCCCTAGTTGCCCCATCACGTGTGCTGAGTGGTGTTTTCAGAAAACCTGTAATTCTGCAGATATCAAGAGTTTTTACCTACCATCCCTCAGAGTTTTGTACATGATTAATCATTTTGAATTAGCCCCAGCACAATAGGTCTTTGGTACAATTCAAAGAAGTGAGTAGAAGGTAGTATATTTATATGCAACATGGTGGTATGGAAATGCTGGTAGCTGACATGGTTTGTATTCAGCTATGCTACCACTTCCTTCAAGGTAAACATTCCTTAATAAGTGAGCCTGCTGTTCTTTTTCAATGCTGGGAAGTGAAAATCAAAAATTCTGACATCATAGTATTTTCAAGTAAGTAGAATTACAGGTAAGTAATTTCCCCTTCCCTTATCACCAGCATAGAGCTGGCTCACTTCCTCACTTGCTGCTGGTGCTTAGCATAGATTCCTTAATTTATTTATAATTTTTTCTATAACAATTACCATAGTAGCTGAACATCTCATTAATTTTCAATCTAATTGCAGTATGAGGATAAGAAACTGAGCAGACTCTGGGACTTGCTTAAAGTCATTCAGGAAGTTATCAGATTTAGGCACAGAACCAGGATATTCAAGTTCAGTGCCTTAACAGGATCGCCTTTCTTTTTTCAGATGGCAAACTGTAAAGCTCAAGCTATATGTCTCTTAAAAACCTGCATATGTGGGGAAAGATAGTAGCTGCTCCCTGAAGACATTTTTAATAGCAATTCACCAAGGGTTCTACATTTTTGTGAACTTTCTAGGAATAGACTTAACTTGAAAAGGAACACAGTTCAATCAGGAGGGATTACTATGGCTTCACTGAAGCAGTAATAGCAGCTCTGACAATCCTTCCACAAAGGCCAACAACTTTGCACTTTGGGAACTGGAGTAGTCTTTGTGACCAAGTAAGGTTACTTAAATAGTTTTGGAAGAACAAAAGCTTTAGAGCATTGTTAAAGCAGGCCCAAGCTTAACTTTGTTTTACAAGTTTAGTCATTGAGGCAAAAATGATGAAGTAGAGAATTTTCATATGAAGGAACAGACATCCTTGTTTCATAATGGGCAAATTTTTTTCTTCTTCATCCTATGGTGAACTCAATGCAGACACGGATTATACCATTTTACCTGGTGCTATGCTGTGATCTCAAATGTAGAATTATATCTTCACTGAAGGGATTAAATGAGTGGAAGTGTCTCTTACACATGTAGTTTATAGCTTGATCAAATTGTAATAATCCTACATTTTAATCTCAAGTGGGCCAAAGGATTCATGCTAGCAGAAGAGCACCAATTTTTCAAGTTCATTTTAAGAGCAAAAATGACAAGACACCTTAACACAAAACTTGAATTAACTTTATTTTCCCCTATAGTTAACAACTGGTCTGCATTGAGCTTTAAAGCAACAAAGTAAAATGAAATCTCAAAAGGGCAAAGGGTCAGAAATCCAGAATTTTTAGTTTTGTGAAAATGTTGCAGCTGTAGTATTGGTCTGTAAAAGAACCATTAAGGTCAAAAAGGAGTTTATAAATCAAAAAATATTCTACACCTTGGGAAAATCAGCAGTAACATTCTCACTGAATATTGTAAATTTACATTTTCTTCATGAAAGGTACATACTATTCTGCATTTTACACCAATACTTCTGGTGTAAATTAGATTTGCTTATATAAAAATGAGTTGCATCCTGTGGCAGGAAAATAAACAGCAAAAACCCTCTCTTTCACTTTATTAAAAGAACAAGAAAATTTTCAAGTCTGTATAAAGTTTCCTATAGCTGGAAAGTGAACATGTTCAATCTCCATTTATATTTTAGTGCATTTAATTTGACAATTGTCACTTTAAAAAAAAATAAAAGAAAGCAAATAGCACTAAAGCAGAAGTTTCATCAACTGATTAAGCACTCTAAATAAAAATGCAGAGAAAAAACACAATCCTTTCCAAAAAACAAACCCCCTCACCTGCCCTCACAAAAAAAGGTAGGTTGGGGTTTATAAACCCTCTATCTCTCCGAACAGCCACAGAAAGGGGATTTTGTATACTTGTCAACCTTTTTTTTAAATTTAAAAAAAGGTATATTTGTTTTACCATGTAAACATTTCACAAAATTAGTTTGTTAGTTCTGAAACACCAGCAGTTGTAGTGCTCAGTAGCATTCATTAATGTTGCTTCAGATTTTCAGAAGGATACAAATTTAGCCCTTATATCTACATTATACAAGATTTGTGCTGTGTAAGGCAGCAAATACTGCAATTGTTTTTTAAACAAAAGCAGCCTGTTCAATTTAAACTTATCATCCAAGTACTGTAATATGTCCAGTTATCATTTGTGAAAATGTAGCTTGCCTCTTATAGTCCAGACCAAAGAATTTACAGCAATAGAAAAAGTACATTTAATGAACCCATGTAAATAAATACTAGAAGGGAGAGTAATCTGTGTTTTCTAAGAGCTGAATTACAAAGATGTACATAGTCTTTTAATTGTTTTAAAAAAATCAACAGCTTGGAAAAACTAGTCACTTTACAGATTTCACCATTCCAGTTTACATTACATATTGCTTATTCAGCTGAAGTATGTTGTTTAAAAAAAAAAAATTGACAAGTATGCATGTGCCAAGGACCAAATTCGAGGGCTCTTTGGTGCAATCAGTCCAAATTCTCAACAGATTTGAAGGATAATATGTACCAAGAAAAAAAATCTGCTGCTAGACTTGGACAGCAGCTCTGTCTTGCTTCACATTACAAATCTAAAACAGCTGTTCTCAATAAGCCAACATTTTTTAAATCAGACATTGCCTGAAAATTTTGTACAATAATCTGGACCAATGATGGTTCTGTACCCTCATGTTGCTGTGAAACATGACTTGAGCTAAAGGCAAAGACTGGTTATCTCAAGGACAACTGCTTCGTATTAGCAATCAGAACAGTGTATTTAAACTGTCTTCCTGTTGGGTCTCTTGCCTCTCTTTAAAATTAGTTTATTCTTAATGTAGCCCCGCTTCCTTTTGGCAGTCTAAAAAGAAAAACAGAATACATTGTATTAGTTAATTATAATGCTCTAGTATTTACACTGTAATGCTGTGCTTCAATCTTTGGACTTTTTTTTAAGTAAATTTAGGTAGTGGGCCTAAACTACTTCATATTGTCCTTTTATTTTAAAATTGTTAAACATATGACAGACTAGCCTCAGGCTACTAACTTAAACAAACCCAACATCCTCCCCTTTCACAAAGTTGTATGAAAAGTCATTTGTTGCAAGAGCCACAAGTCCATCCTGCATAGCCCTGTCTCCAGAGCTGTGCCGATGCTAATAAGAGCAAAGATTCTAATTCAGCTTGATTAAGGACACAAAGAGCAAAAATGACATAGAACAGTGGAGAACGTTAGTCTCAAACTTGGAAATGAAAAGTTTCCAGAGAACTGAGTTTTCATCTTTGAGAGGATGACCAGGTTAAGTCTATCACTCACAGAACTGTAGTTTAGTGTAAACCGAGCATGATAACTTATGTCCTATGTTACTGATGTACTGTATTAGAGCAACTATTAACATCTGTCTGCTTTCAAGGAATAAATTAACATGCACAGGATAAGGGAGTTCTAGCCTTTTTATCCCCCACAATCAGTTTTGGAGCCTGAGTTGGGCCCTAAGATGACATTAAATGAGCAAAGAGGGCTATTTAATTTTCTATTTGATGTCCCAAATTTTAGGCTGAGCAGATTCATTAAAATAAGTAAGGACTAATGTAGTAGAGTTATTTTCATTGTTTGTATTTATATCTATGGGAGACCATAAACAGTCAGCTTGTGTATTTCATTTGTCCCAAAGAACAGAATATGAAGCGCAGCTGCTCCAGCACATTTCACATGCAATTTGCTTGTCAGGCTCACCTGCAGGCCACCGACAAAGGGAAATAGAAACTACATCCCTTTAAGAAGCTGGAAAGCAGAGATGTCGATTGTAACATTTAGAGTGCACCTTTCATTTTACCAACGGATATGACAAGTATACATATCAATTCATTTACTACTGATAACTATGTAACCATGCATAGGCAAAGTACATAACCGCTTAAGCCTGTTGAATTTTCAGGGGTTCATGTGGTCAGAATAATTTTGCAAGTTGGAGGTTGGCCAGGAAGATACTGCTCAGATAGTTACAAAAGATCCTGTAAGGCTCTATCTAAAGACACCTGGCTGCATTTGCACCCTAGCAACCTGCTGGTTCACTGATAATTATTGGAGACATTTATACAGTATGTAGAATTTACATGTCTCATCCAAATGCTGGCCACACTTTTATCCTGTCTTAGTTTGAGAGCAAATGGGTTGCTCAGCTTAAAGGAATACAGCTGACAGAAGTATGGTTAGGTTTATTATTAACAATTATTAATAATTGTTATTAATACTTATTATTATTAACATTATTCAGAAGCTGTCAGACCAGAACAATGTCAATACTAGAACTTGAATTTCAGGTGTTTGAGTGCAAACTGCAATTGGCACTTTATAATAAAGTTTAAACTGAAAAAACGAAGTTCCAGGCCCCCTGGCAATAAAGGCCAATTCAAAATATTCATGTTTAGCATTAAATTATGACTTCAACTCTAAAGGCAAGTTACCAATTACAAGTGAAATGGTTCAAAACAGATTCCTTTCTACCAATCTAATTACAGTCTAATTGGACTGTGCCACCAAAACACCTTACAGACACTGATAAAATCTGTTCAAACATTTTGTATCCATAAAGTATCCTTAATAATTGTATGTTACACACTAATTTAATAGTGGTACTATCATTGTTCACTTGACAAGATTTGGGACTCCTACTTGGGATAAAAAACTGCATATCACAGGGCTAGCAGTTGCTGTGAAAGATTTTTCCTTTCACTTCCTCTGCAACACGCTACTCCCCCCCCAACACTCCACTATAATAGACAAATAATGCACCAAGACCAAAATATGAAATGTGTTTTAAAAAAAGGAACATTTTAAGTGAGATGATTTCAAAGAGTAAGAAGCCAGACACTTAAGTTCCATCAACAAAAGGTTCAGATTTAATTTATTTCATACAAAAATGTCATTTTGAAACTTCTAGGCATCACTATTTACAAACAGGTTCAGAAAGCAACTTCCACATTATTTTTTACTTGGTGAGCCAGTTACTGAAACATGATTGATGTACTTTGGAGAGTATACTTCAATTTACATGAAGCTGTTTAAGATTTGTAACAGCCAGTGACACAGCCTATTGCCAGTTAGCAACACTGTCTTAAAAAAAAAAAATCTAGCCTTGTGTCTTCACATGCTCACAGGTTAAGCAGACAGTAAATTAACAATTATTACCAGCAGGCAGGTCTGATATTGGAGACTAATATGAATGAACCGTATCATAAAAAGATCTAGCTAGTGGAAATATATAACTCACCAGCTATGTGATTTACTGTTAAAAACAAATAAAACAGGTTGTTGCCCCTTTTGAGTTACTTCACTGGGAACCCACCTTCTTTGACAAATACTTCTGTTTTGGTAAAATGTTGGTTACTCTAGGTTTATGGTCCAATGTCTCTCTGTTGTCTAGTTCTTTCACTTTGTATATTCTTACAAGCCAATGCTCTGATGTAAAGGCTTCCTCCAAATGTTTGAATTTAATGTCCTTGTTGCCGATCTCAGCATTGCGTGTGCGATCAAATCCTGGTGGTGTCCGAAAATCCAGCTATAAAGTTAATGTTACACATCAGTTTGGAAAAAAATATGAAATGCATCACTGCTAACTAAGCTGTGCTCCACATTCCCTGGGCTAGACCTAAACTGCTTTAATGGGGAAAAGAATCTGAAGAGATTATTTTCTGTGCAATGTCATTACTGCTCAGAAAATCTTGAAGCCACGGCTTTTTTTAGTCAGCCAAACTAGAGCTCAACTAGTTCTGACAACTGGAAAGGAAACTGATCAAATGACTGATACTTGTACTATGTCTTCTGCATATGACTCAAGTCACCTGTGTCAGTGGTGAGTCTTATTTCCTTATTCAGAAAGGAAACAAGAACAATGATGGGAGAGCATGAATGTCCAAAGTGCAAGAGCCTGCGGTGCCTTATAAACATGGATGCTTTCTCTCTACTCTCTCTTTACAATGAAAATGCTGCATGGAAGAGTATGAATGTCCAAAGTTCCTTGCGTTGGCTCTATATGCCAAAGTCAGTCCTGAAGTTAAACAGGCATAAGGCCCCCTGATCTCAGAGTCCTACTCACTTATATGAATAATGAATTTAGTGCTGTGTATCAGAAATGGAAGGGCACTCAAAAGGGGAACAGGAAAAAGAGAATAGAAAGTTTTATGGACTTAAAATAAGGCAAGTAGCAGATGGGAAAAATGGAAAAGGAAAGCATGAATGAATAACTAAGATTAATAAACTTTATTCACAGATGTAAACCTTAATTTATGCTAAATGCCATTCCAATGGGTGGGAGGAGAAACAGCTATCAAACAAATAGTTCAAACACATTTGTGAGAATTAGGTGAAGCCTTTAGGTCTTAGTAGGGTGCCAATGTGACCCTTAGGGTACGTCTATACTTACCTCCGGATCCGGCGGTAAGCAATCGATCTTCTGGGATCGATCCCGGAAGTGCTCGCCGTCAACGCAGGTACTCCTGCTCCGCGAGAGGAGTACGCGGAGTCGACGGGGGAGTCTGCCTGCCGCGTGTGGACCCGCAGTAAGTTCGAACTAAGATACTTCGACTTCAGCTACGTTATTCACGTAGCTGAAGTTGCGTATCTTAGTTCGAAGTGGGGGGTTAGTGTGGACCAGCCCTTAGTGTTAAAGTCTGGGGAAGTGAACATTTATTTGTTTATGGAAAGTATTTATTTAAGCACGGTTCCACACAAATGAAAAACTATGGCATAAAAAGAATAACTTGAAGTGTAACTCTTAAGCAAGATTACTGCTTACAGTGAATAACTAATTTCAAAGGTCTGCCCGAGGAAACAGAGATGAATACAAAGCAGCAGCAAAGGGTCCAAGATAAAGTCTAGAGAACAGCACTAGTACTGCTAGAGCAAATTAAAGATTACATACCATGGCAATAATGTTTTGCAAAAGCATGACATTAGCTTTGCAAATTAAGATAGCACTGATTTCCATCACTTCACTAGCAGAATGAAAGCTAACATTCAATAAAAAAACTGATCAAGATGACAATAGTTTTTTTGGCCTTATGTCAAATTCAAATTAAATAAAAAGGGGGATCTATTTAGCAATGGCATAACCTTTTCTCCAAGACATTTGCATTCTTATGCAATTCAAGTTTCATTTGAAGTGATTCAATTCCATACTTCATTACCTTTCTTCAATGCCCATTTGTGTAGTATTGGATTACAAAGAAGAAATCTCAATTAACCAAATTAACAAATGGCAAATTTGTATACTTTCAGAGATACTAGTGATAACCTTATCCTTACAAAGTTGATGTGATCTCATCTCCCAGGGAACTGTATTCTCCAGTTGTGGGAACTGATGTAGGAGTTCATTTTAGCCCAAACAAATATTTGGATATGAAAAGCAATTCTGCAACTCTCTACCCCGCATGGTCCTAGCAGACAGTTTATAGGTGTCAAACACAATAGATGCTACTGAGAGGTCTTTCTACAAGCAAATGTTTTCAATACCATTTAGAATAACTGTAGAGAGATAGCAAGATTCTGTGTACCTGGGACTTGACAGACACATATCAGGGGTTTTAATAAGGGACTGATAAATAACAGGGGGCTGGTGCTGACATTGAACAAGCGAACTACAGATGACTGACAAGAGCTGAAAAACAATTGTAAGTAAGTGGAAAGTTCCAGATACCACTAACCTGCATTTCTCCAAATCTGTAATAGGACATTTTATACATGAGGCAGTTCAGCAACGTTGGAGAACCTGCCTTGTCTACGCGGAACTCTCCCTGTGGAGTGAAGTAGTCACTTTCCTAAAAAAACAAACCAACAAGGAAGACTCATTCCCTCTTCCACAAGATTCTCACTGATGGGATTTGATAAAGTGTGTAAACTGTCTTCTGTATTTTAAATATAAGGGAAGTTGTCCTTTAAACAGAAAGTGAGGCTCAACCTTAACTACATCATAACAGCTATGTAACTAAGGCACAGAGGTTGTGCACCATCAGTTTTACTGAACAAATTTACCCCCTAGCTGACATGGTCTTGCTAATCCATTTATTGTATGTAGATGTACATGACTTGTTTTTGAAAGTATTTCTATAGTAAACAGTTCTTGGAGAACACCAAATTTCTGATATATTGATCAATAAGGTGTATAATTTAGTTGGGCATCTACCAGAATTAGTATTTTATGCTTTATGCACCTGACCTACTATTAATTATTCTGGAATAACATAACTAGGTGTATGGCTATTGTGATATAAGCATGAACTATAGGTTGTATATACAACACACTTGAAACCACACATTTTAACATTTAGGAAATGGAATTGTTGATTGTGTAGAACAATAAATTTAAAAAAAAGTCAAGCAAAGGCCGGTAGTTACTGTTCCTGGACATGTGCTTGAATTTTAACTAACTGAGCAGATTGCTCCCTTACATCTGCTCACTTTACAACATTTTCTTTTGTCTACTAAGACTGTTGCTTGTCTTCTCCTGCAATATTCAAGAACTGCAGACCTTGCATCTTGATTTAGAAAATGTGGATATATTCCCTACCCTACAATATAAGTAAAATCATTTTACTCTCCTATTGGCCCATAGTTCAGTGTGGTAGAAATTCATTTCCTGGAACTGTAGTATAAAAACTAAAAAAAGCAGCTCCTTAACAGTAACTATTTAAATGTTCAGAACATCCCTTTGGTGATGCAGTTCAAAGCTCAATGGTCACACTGTGACCCACACAGGCTATTACAGTAGATAGCCTGTGCTTTCAGTAACAGTTTTCAATTCCATAGATGAAACATACTAAAAAATGTAATGCTTTAAAATGACTGACCCTTTAAGACCATATATACTTAAAGACAGCAGACTATCACTCTCTGCCATCCAAACATGAAAGAACCCTAAAAAACCATATGATTTAACACATTTTATCAAATAAAATGGTAATAAAACATATAGATTTTCCCCTTGTGATAAGGTCACACTAGAAAAGTGACATTTTAGTTAATGATGGGATTCGAGATAAGATATTGCCATATGGTACCAAAAAATGGATCCCACAGAAATACTGTATTTTGCCAGGGACACACTACTCCTAGCTTTGTTGTTTACATTTCCACTTACCCGGATATCTTTGGGATGCTCGCCCTCTGCTATTCTCACCATCCACAAGAACTTGTTGATATCATCACCAGAGTAGCCAATCACACCTCCAAAAATAATTAAAACATAATCCACATCCAGACTCCTCATGATCTCATATGCTGCTGTCTCATTTGATGACATTGCTTTTCCCACCTACAATATCACAGGCACAAATCTCTTAGTATCTGTACAATTGCTTACCAGCAAGCTAAAGGGCCAGATCCTCAGCTGATGTAAATAACTGTAGCTCTACTGAAGTCAATGGAGCTACACCACTGAACACAAGCTGAGGCTCTGGTCCAAAGCACATGCATTTACCCTTCACAGACCTTGTTCATCTCATTCTGTCTAAAGAAAACCCATTACTCCTCCATTTATTTGGAAACTGAAGAACCCAATCCCTATGAAAATTATTTTATTCTTCATGGGAAAAATCAGTGTCTGTTGGACTGATCTTTACAGTATATAGGACAGTTATTATACAATTTTTTTTTGCTCTTCTACTGTTTCTTCAAACTACATTTGAATTGCCAACAGATAAAGGAGATGCTGTTTGGCAGAGTGGCCCAGTGCACAATGAAAAATATTTTTAAAAGAGTTGTGATAACTTCAAATCAACAAATTCTTTAACGTGCAACTTAATTTTCCATTTTTCACTTTCATTGAGTTCATTGTGTCTACATAACCAAAAGGCAAATGTTTCAGAGAGGGGTAAGAATGTGTGTGTTTCTCTCTTTCTTTTCACTCTCTGTTCTCCCCCCATTTAGATTTACAGGGTGGAGTCATTTAGATTAAAAAAAAAAACACCACCAAGACAAGCTCTTCAAGTTCAAACACTACAGATAAGTTTTAGGTCAAAAGGTAATATATGGGGAAGAAAATAAAGTTTATTAACCATAGCCAGAATCTCTCATATAACAGTTGTTTTTTCAGAGTTTAAAAAAACAAAAACAACCCCCCCCCCAAAAAAAGAGTGGAGATATAGAGAAGATACACTTACAAGGTCAACACCTGCACCACTTTAAATTTAGGAAGCTCAACAGTAAATGAAAGTATAGCAATACATCACTAAGATATACATTACTATGGCAACTGTTTTATGTGCGAATTCCTTATGTTAAAATACATCAAAAATTAAAATTTAAAGAATGTTAAGGTTGTTAAGTCAACGACTTAAAAGCTAGGAAATGCCAGACTTAAGGTGACCCATGCAACATTAAATTTGGCCTCCTAATGCATATACATTATGATACAAGCTTTAATTACATGGTCATATACTATTTTTTCCCACAGGACCCTTCGTTCAGTGAATGGGCAGTTATCCAGTGTATGGATCCAAGCCTTTTCTCTCTCTCCACCCTTTCTCTCCACAACCATTCAACCTCTGTACTGAATACAGAATGATTAAGATGCACATGGGTATTAATATTGTGCTCTCCCCATAGTATCGGAGTTTTTCACAAATAATGAATTTGTCTTTACAACACCCCTGTGAAATTGGGTGGTATTATCTCCATTTTACTGGAGGGAACTAAAGCACAGAGATTACAGCCGAAGATTAGCACAACACAGTATCAAAGCACACGTTAGATTAAGAACTGGCTAAATCAAGAGATCTCAAAAATATGTATCAATGGGGAATCATATAATGGGGGCGTTTCTAGTCACCTTCTGCAGGGATTGGTACTAGGTCTGATGCTATTCAACGTTTTCATCAAGAATCTGTAGTAAATATAAAATCACTGCTGATAAAATTTGTAGATGACAAAGATTGGCAGAATGGTAAAGAATGATAAAGACAGGACAGTCATATCAAGTGATATGGATCGCTTGGTAAGATGGGCCCATTCAAACAAAACAATAAATTAATAAAGTCAAATGCAAAAGTTACACATATAAGAGCAAGGAACGCAGGCCATACCTACAGAATGGGGGACTATATCTTGGAAAGCAGTGAGTTTGAAAAGAATCTGCCAGTCTTGCCCCAGCTGTCTCACATTGGGCATCCAGAAAACAAGGAACACAACTAGGATCAACTATGAATATTTTTATTCAGTGACTTGTCCTGCATCACACAGGAACTCTATGGTAGGGGCAAGGATAGAATCCAATTCTCTAGGGTGGCAGGCAACTTCTATAACCATAAAACCATCCTTCCTTTTCCTGCAATCCCCTGCCTCATTCGCTTCACACCAACTACTGCAATAAATGTCTGGTGGATTACTGCCTCAGCCTCCTTCACTACATAATCCTGATACATTCTCATATCTGTCCATATGCTATGCAGTGAATGAAGCAGGGTTCCTGTGGGAAAAAATAGCATGTGATCATGTAATTAAAGATTGTATCATAATGCATGGCATCTGACCTGGAAAATCTGAGCCCAAACAGCTAAAGTTTGGAAAAGTTATAAACAAATGAAAATAAGGTCTTATCACAGGAAATGTCAGGCAACCTTAACTATAGGCAGTGCTACCAGCTCCACCTGTAATACACAGGACTTAAAATTTCTACTCACCTGAGACGTAGGGAATTTATATATATAAAAATTGTGCCTATCCCTTGCAATTCTGAAGAAAAACATTCCAACTATTAACCAAATGTAACTGATATAATGCTGTCTTCCTGAGTCTGCACAGACCGCTCTAGTGACTCTGTTGCTACTCAGAACTTTTCCGAGTTTCAACTGAGTAAAAACTTATCTGAATCTTGTCAGTTTTCACAGAGCTGTTCAGAATCTAGTAGGCAGCAGTGAAACTGATGAATTAGATCAATTTCACTTTAATGCTGCTTAGCAAAACTGAGTAGCAGATGACCAGTTCTGGAGCTAACAACTGGGGAAAGTGATTCAAAAACAGAGTCTAGGGAGGGCTACATTAGCAGAGACCAACCCACTCATCCATGTATCAGCCAGGAGGCTCTAGGAACTAGAAGAGGAACAGAAAACTGCCAGAAGGAGTTATGTTGTGGGAGGGCTTCAAGTTTAGATATCTACAAATTTACATTTCCCTATTTTGATGCAGTCTTAATTCTCAGAATAATTTTTTATTTAAAGATAATTTCAGGGGAAAAAAATCAACTACGAAATTAGATTTCAAGATTATCCAGTTCTAGTGTCTAATAATTTTGCTCCATGATAATCTAGTTGCAGCATGTATTTTTTACCTCAATGTAATGCAAGATTGAATCAGCACCACTGTTTCATATTTTGATCATACCGTTTAGATTTAGATATTTTGTATGTGAATTAAAAACATTCTAATTCTTTAATTTGGAAAGCAATCTTTCACACTGGAGTTCTAACATATGACAAACCTTTCTGTGCCCCTTCCATTCCTCATTCTATAGCAATTCTCTTTAAACCACGCTATGCGTAAACAACTTACAAATTGTTTTTAGAGTAAAAGTCAGCCAGATATTTTGATATTTTTAACCTCAGAGTACATAAAACTACCTTCCTTACCAGGGCTATGTGGCTGTTGTTCCAGGTATTGTTATCAACTAAAGTAGTCCGATTGGCCATTCCTGCTATCTGATAGCCATAGTCCCACCAAGACATTACTCGAGCATGTTCATCTGTATTTTGTCTTAGCCAATAGTATGCCTCTCTGAAATCATCCAGGATGTTCCGAGTGCTGAAAGAGAAGCATCAGTTTAGCCTATATTCAAACTAATGTCAGCGTCAATTTAACCACTAGTTGGCTACTGCTTTGTGGAGATCTAAATCAATGCTCAAAACAATCTGCATACACACATAATTCTTCTAAAGTAAGTTTGCTGATGACATGCACTCAAGAGATTTGATTAACATGATGACAGCTGGCTAGTCAGAAAACAAAACTTTTGAAGAGGTGACAAAATTGTATTTTGAATAGTATATTCAAGTACAGAGTTTATACTTGGATGAACTACGTGCATCTTTTACATTATCTGTAAACATAAGCTAGCTTACAAATTGTTTTTAAATTAAAAGTCAATCAAGTATTTTGATGTTTTTACTTCTGACTACATAAAACTAGTTTTACCATTTTGTTGGGCTGGGGGGGCAGAATTAGAAATTGGATATTTAGGTCAGATCTGAGATTACAGAAATAGAATGGAAGAAGCTGAAAGGGAAGGCAAAACAACTCGAGATACCAATCTCAAGAGCCCACCAACTTTTTCTTTTTTTTTATTTGCCTTTAGAAATTGCCTTCAAATATACAGTGCTTTCTTACCCATCATGATTGTATGAAGCCAGAACAACACTAGGACTGGAGTATGCATTGCTAGTTACCCAAGTGCAGTGGACAGCAAACATCATCAACAACATCAGCATCAACATAGTAACAATACTCTTGATGTTGGGACCCAGTCCTTCTTCTGTTTTTTCCTGTTCAGATACGTGTTTCCTCACTTTACCTGCCTGAATAAACACAAATTGAACTGTTACAGCAGCTTAGATATAAAAGATGTTTTTCTGGCCATGGCAATGGACCCAATAGCTTTCTCTACACCATTGCCAACTCACAATATCATGTAAATAAAAAGATCAATAAAGTAGTTCTCCAAATCTGAATATGTACAGGGAGATTTTTACATCCAGTACCATGTAAAATGAATTCTTCATTTAAAATCTTCCTTAATAGCATAAAATGCTCACATCAGATGAATGCTTCAGAGCCTTGTTGAGGTGACAGTTGAGTGCAGGGCAAAGTAAGAGGTGAAAATAAGGCCATTGTAGTTGAGAAGAGCTACAAGAATCAAAGCTTGCCATTGTTAAGGTTAGGTAGGAGATATTCCTCTTGCATAGTATTTTGGTTAACTTTATAAACCTGCAGTGAATAGCATGGGTTTCTGAATTCTGCCTCAGAAAAACAAGAACCTCTTTGGTGTGTTCCGGTTTGTTTCAGATGTGAAAAAAGGAAAGAAGAGGCCTAAATATCTTTTTGAGGCAGGGTGAGGTGAGGGAAAGAAGTGGGTATATTTGCTGCAAGAAAAAAAACAGTAAAGGAAAGATAACCAAGTCTCCTGTGTTACAATACAAAGTTAGTCAAAGCCACAAATATCAAGGAGCCACGTGCTGCCATCTTCCTCATAAGCAGGAAAAAGGCAATGTAAGGTTTATGAAGATGATCTTTTCATAAAATATATAATCCTTTATTTTTCACTGTATTTGAGAGAAAATAATGGCAAGTTTTTGCTATTTAGAAAAAACAAAAACATGTGCATGGCAAATAAAATATTCTGACTTCAATTCAGCAAGCTTGTAATTGTGTTATAGCCTGCACACCACTTCCTGGTTTGTGAAACCCTCTCCAGGGAAGCCAAAACACTAAATACATTTTTCTTTAATCCTTAGACCGCTACATAATCTCCTGGGGTAAAACTGACTTTCAATAGGATTTAGACTTCTAAATTGCTTAGGCACTTTTGAAGTTTGTCCCAGGTGAATAACTCCTGTCAGGAAAATGGGTCTGAGCACTAGGAGATTAGAAATGGGTGCTTAACTACAGAGTCATTCTCACTCTATTTCTCTGGTCAAAGAACTATGCATTGCCACTATGAATGACAATGAATGCCAGGGGAAGACAGTGAGAATGACTCTAGAGTCTGGTGGTAAGGCGCTCACCCAAGATGTGGGAGGCCCAAGTTCAAGGCCCTCCTCCAATGGCTTCATTTATCCAGAGTGGAACAGCTTCAACAGGAAAGACTGAATGAGAACCTTGATAACTCTGAGCTAAGGGCCTGATTCAAAGACCATTGAAGTCAGTGGAAAGACGAACTGGGTCTCCCACATCCCAGGTGAATGCCTTCACCAGCAGGCTGACATTTCTATGAAGGTGGCTCTCACCACTGCCACCACCTTCTCTTGCTACAGCCATTTGGTGAATGGCATCTAAGTCCTAACATTTTTTTTGGCTGAAACTATTTGGCAAATTCATGTCAAATTTGTGCTGGCAAGGAAACAGACGTACATTCTTCATAGCTGAAGCTTCAAATGTAGCCCTAATTAGGGCACATTACCCAGAGATAACAAAGGCAGGTCTGAGCATAACTAAGTCCATATAAACGACAGCAACAATTACAGCTACTAGCTAGACGCAGATAGGACAAGCATTATGGGCTACCACTGCTCCATCGGAGCCAAGATGGATCTGATAGGACTCCCAGTTTACAAATTATCCTTGTATTAGGTAGGCATATGCCATCAATAAATGGTACACTTGTACCACCAACCCACCTCATTCCTCTAAATGTTTTTCTCTACCAACAAGCAGGTTTGTAGTCTTGTAAGGTTTGAGCTGCAGCCAGTTTTCAATTAGTTTCTCGAGCAGGCAGGGGGAAGAGTAGTGAGACTGCAGAATTTAGTTTTGCTGTAAAGGAGATTCAATCCCTGATCCAAAACCAACTGAAGTCAATTGGAGTCCTTCCATTGACTTCAATAGGCTTTCAATCCGGCCCTTAATTCAGACTTACCAGCGTACCAATAGTATGCTTTGAAAGCATAAAGGTCCTTTAGTGTCCTCATATACACACTGAAATGGGTGACAAGATAGAATCTGTACAGCTAATCCTTTAGGAAAATGAACTTCCAATCCTACCTTTCTGGGAAGAAGGACCAAATACATGGATTCCCAAATGGTTACACTTGGGTGACTGCGGTGTCTTATTGGTGGGTGTCTGTTCTAAGCGTTAATATTGAATTTCTTGATGCCAGCGATCCCGACCTACAACAGTAGTTTATAGACAGCTGTAAAATATACTGGGCAAAAAATAGGCTATGTTCTGACCTCCAGGGAGTTTCCCAGAAATAGCTAGAGTAGGAAAAAAGCCTGCAATGCAATTTTACTGTATTTGTGTATTTGGAATTCAAGGTCAGCACCTGCACACTGAGTTAAGACACACAGTTCAGGGAGATACAAGCTCCTCTGCACCTCTATCCTGACCATCAGCCTTCTGCTTTTTCCACTGTTGTGCCTCTCAAGACAAGGTTGATAGTTTTATCAAACTGTTAAGAATGAAGTCAGTGTGTTTAAGTAAAAGTGTGTAGGGCATCTGGTTTAAAATAATAATAATAATGCTTCACACATGTACACGACTTCTCATCCAAGAAGTGACAATTCCACGAGGTCCTATATCCATTTTATAATAATGCCTTATCAGACTGCAGCAATCCTTGCTTTAAGAGGAAGAAATTCAGCCTGTCAAAGCTCTGACACTGAAGCTTTGAACCTCAGACTATATTGCTCCTTGTTATGAAGGCCAATGAAAAATCTGTAATGCTTAGTATAAAAGTGCATAAGGATATATCAGCAATGCCTCGGAATCTCTTTTGCTCACCTTGTCATACAGGTTGCCTGGGTTTCTTTTGTCATCCTCATCACTGCTGTCTTCTATTGGTGGATTTTCCCTCTTCATATCATCACCCAAATAGTGCTCAAACACATTGGAGAAAGCAATTGCTGACAGCATACAGACCACTGGAGTCAAAGTCAACATCAGACGAACCATCACACCAGCAAAGTAAACAGCACTGATTGCATACAGAGCGACTGCAGAGACAGAAGTCCATTAATGACATTTAGAAAATAACATTCAGCTATTCTCAGAAGAAATTACTATGTCATTAAATTAGCCTCCGAAATAAAGATATCATCTCCTAAATGGGGTTGACAGCATCTTGGTATATAATGCACATTTATAGCACACATCTTGTTAAATATTGTAAAAAGCTCTTATTGAATAGTTTACAAAGACTGTGTTACATCTACATACATCCCTTTTATCCCCAAAAGGCTTCTTAAAAATCTAACTTTGCAGCTTTTAGTGAGAATTAGAGCCGAGTTTTGATATTCATTAACAGCTTGTGGTATTTCACCAAAAATGCGCTCTACATGAACTGGTAAAAGGAAGAAAATTGTGTAATTTCATTTGATAAAAATACAGCAGAATGGCTTTAGACTGGATATTTTACTGAAACAGAAAAATCAGGTTACAATTTGTAAGGAATTACATAAAAACTGATGTGAATGTAAGTCATGACATATATAATCACTCTGAGATTTTGCAAATCTACAGGGGGTTGTCAACATTTCAATTCCAAGCACATACCTCCAACCACTTAAACATGTTTTTGCTAGCAATGTTGTAAGGTAACCCCCTCACAATCCCCCAGTAGAACAATGTTATCATTCTAGAATACTTTTATAATAGTAAGAGTGCTTTTCACAAGAAAAAACGCAGGGAAGGGAAATTGTTATAGCAACTATTATTTAGACATTGTTGCTAGGACAGTTTCAACCATGTGGATGTGTCATAAATGTTAATAATTTATTGTTTATAGAAAAGGAGATCTGCAATGGAAATTGTTCCAGACCTTCACTAGTTTAATTTTGAAATTCACTAAGGGATTATATGACTTAAGTATTAACTAAAAAATGAGGTTCCCCCCCCCCCCACCACACACACATTCTGGCCTCTTTCATGCTGGATCAAAGGGGCTGGAGCAGACTTAAGGGACCTTGAAAGCCCTGGTTTTGGCTGGTACGTTGAACCATATTAAGAAATTTAATATTTTCAGTCCTATCTCTTGGAAAATATTTTATCATCTCCAGTAAATCAAATTGCTATAAATTGCGTTCAATGCTATGTGGCGACAGCAAACTTTACAAAAGTGTCTTTATCCAACAACACAGTTGTTTAAGCCTTCTTCTAATACAAAATGCATATCAACTTTATTATGGGATGCAAAGCACACCAAACAAAGCAGAACTTTGATGAAGACAAGATTCTAGAAAATAATTTTTGAATATCTTCTTACCAAAGACTCTTTCATCATTGATATTTTTGATACAGAACCACAGCCCTGCTGGGAAAGTACACACGAGAATATGCAGATCAAAAAAGAAGGAAACCCATGTTGTAGGCTGATGCTCAGACACAGAGGCAATGATCGGGATGTGAATTTTCGCATACCTTGTTTAAAAAAAATTCAGTTCAAATTATTTTGAAATGATGAAGTTGCCAAAATTATATAAATCAGAATTCAAAAGCAAATTTAAAAGTAAACATTTTAATTTAAAATGTTAAGACTTTATTCAGCAGAAATTTGAGGTACCTTTTCAATACATAATATGGTCCTATATCTTATGATATTCAAAATAGAATTATTCACACAGGCTGGACATATACATTTAGCACGCATATGCAAGAGTGCTAAAAACCTGTGTGTGAGATAACTGTCAAAGATTCATGTACATTTTGTGCTAAGTCTGTACATATTGCATAGGTATAACTTAAAGGTGTCCTATTTTAAAAAAAAAATCTGTCCCCAAATGTTAATGGAACATTTTTAATGATACCATATGTTATAGACACAAGTGTCTCAAATCTCAGTTGGGGAATATTTTTTTGGTTCAAAGAAAGACTTCCACAGAAGTTAGAATCTTGATAGTTTTAAAATAGTTGCCACCTACCTATCTACAAACATCTAAAAGAGGCAACATTTTGAGGAAAACCCTCTCAATTGTCAACAAGGGAAAAACTTAGTAAAATGTCAATGTTTAGAACTATATTGGTCACAGTTTCAAGACAGGTTATGTAAATGCTCTCTCCAAACAGTTTGTGGAAAATTTATATATGAGCTTTTATCGATGGGAAGGTGGGATGGAAAGTGTGTGTTTTATATTTCAACAGGACAAATAATGCACAATCCTCTATCCCTACTTACCCGGTGTCCCACAGTGAATAAAACCTGCCACTCCATGGAGCAATGTAACCTGAAAAAGTCAAGGAAAAAACTAATCTGCTTAGATATTTAATTATAATGATTTAGCTATTTCTTCAGATGTCTGCATAAGCATATATTACAATGAAAGTTTAAAACAGTTAAAAAAATGTCATGAAAACCCATATAATTTATAGAATTATTTCTGTCAAATAGACATGCATGTAAACTGTGTATCATAGTAAAACTAACAATGATTCTCCTCTTAAGGAACTAAGAATTCTCAGTCTTACAGGACTTACACTATACTGTACAGGTTCAATGTCATCATCACTCACACAGCTCAACAAATCATCAAAAGGTAGAGTAGTAGTTAAGACACATGTTCCAAAAATCAAAGAGAGTCTATAGCATTTGGAGAAGGGAGTCATTCAATCAAAATAAAACAGAGCAGACTACCTAATACTTTCCTTGCAAAGTACTGTTCCTAAGTCATCAACATTTCATCTAACATTTGATTGCTATAATGCCATCACTGCAGTATCTACATGCAACAGTGAATGCATATTCGGACACCCTGATAAACCTTATGTAAAAGTGTCAGGCTTTTTGAACATGGCTCTAACACAAAAAGAAAGCAATGATACTGTATATCTCCAAGCTGAAAGAACTTTTATTTTTCCTTCCCCTGTCACATTTCAATTTGTCATTTAATGAAAACGACACAGAAAAGTATTAAACTGAAGCATGAAAAATAAAATTTCATCTTTTAATCCATATGGCTTTATGCATGGAGTAGGAAAAAGTTCTCTCAAGTCTGCATGTCAGCTGAACATAACTGATTCAAAGTTTTAATCTCTTATTCTATAACAGGAGGTGGTGAGGGCAAATTTGTGTACATGAGTTTATTTCCCCCAAGCCACACCTTCTGCTTAATTATACAGATAATATTGAAAAACAGAGGGTAAATATATGTATTTGTTTTACCCTCTATAAATGGATGTAGAGGTGATCTAGTTTTACTACTACTAAATTGAAATATATTGTAGGTTCCTACAGAACTGCTCACATGTATCTGAAGGCAGATCACAATCCAGCAAGTTGTGGAAACATCTGGTAACATCTATATTTGTTCTTTTTGTAACTTTTCAGCTCAACAGCAAAACAAAGATTGCTGTTACAACCCTGACCACTAAAGTCAGCAGCATTTTTTTTGAACAACTATGTTATACATTCATACTTCAATTTGTAAAGCAATTAGTAATGTGTGAATTCCTGATTTGAGGACATCAGGGTTCAGATTCAATCAGTATGGTGTACTGGCACATCTCTTTCTTGCTGCCATAGTTTCTAGAATTTTAACTTTTATTTAATTTTTTTTTAAAGTAACTCTAGCAGTTAAGGTTGTTGAGATAGCATCTTTTACACTCCACTCGTGTTTTTGAGGCTATGCCTGCATTTGTAGAAGCTGAAATAGTTCCAGAGGTGCCAACTGTACATTCATATTGTTGGTGTCACTAGGCATAGCTACCAGGTAACTCAGGGGAGTGGAAGGCCAGAAGAGCCGATGAAACTCCTTTGCTCTGGGTCTAAGTGAGCCACAGTGACTCCATCTTAAGAACTTTCACCTACTTCTGTGCTAACTGCTTACATGCTGAAGCAGAAATGTAAGGGTCAGCTTTTCTAGCAGACAGCTGTAGTTTTGTTCACACTAGCAAAACTTGTAGTGATAATGCGGGGGAAAAGGGGGAGGGAAAGACTGCGTAAGACTGCATGCACATGAATCTACAAGGCCATAGATAAGCATACGAATGGGAACTGTTCTAATAAGCCACAATGTGTGTCTGCTGTAACTGCTAGAGGAGGGAGGGGTGGGAAGGGTAAGAGGGAGTAACAGACAAAGGCTTACACAGAAACTGCTTGGAATATAAAATGGAACATGTGCTGATATGTGCTGCGCTTGATTTGAGACGTGTTGGTCTCCTAGTGCCTATTCAGAGCTCTTGAATAAAGTTGGTTTTGCTTCTCCACACCTGGTGTGTCTATTAGTGCGGCGCACACCGGGCAACGAACCCCACTGTTTGCCTCCTCGGGCCCATCTGGGCCGGCAACAATATCACTGAGTGCTAACTCAGATATTCAATGATATTTTGGCATAAGTGACCAGGCTTGGGAGACGTTGTCTACCTCCCTCTCCCTATCAAGAAGATATGCCCAAGGAGCCTAAAAGAGCATAGCTGAGCATCTCAGGCACCCTTAAAGGGGAACCAACTCAACAAGCCTAGTGGGACACATAAGCCTTACCTAGTGGAAGTCAAATCCAAAGTACCTAGCAGAGTCCAGGAGTACATATGGACCCCAAAGAGAGCCCTGAAAGTCTGCTTGACCATATTTTGAAGCTCTGCACAATAAACTGTGAGCAGCATCACTTGTGGGTGGATCTTATTTTGTGGGCAGAGCTTGGAAGAGAACCATTACCTTTCTGTTCTGACTTCTGGACATTATCAAGTGTATCACCAGTTTTCACAATTTTGAACTTCATAGTACATTATCTCTTTTCCACATTTCCCCCCAAAACCTATTTTATCTGTTCATTTTCAGTATTTGAGAAAATAATGATTTACAATAGTTTTCTACTGTAAATTGTCCCTTGTCTTTGTAAACTACACGTTTCCTAGATTTTGACTTTTTTCTTATATAAATTTGAACTTCTATCTTCAGTGCACTGTGAAGAAGAAAACACATAGGCTTCAAATAACACAGGCACTTGCTTGCCTCATTTAAACATCTTCCAGGCATGTAACAGAATCAATGAGTTAGATACTTTTTCTTTTAAAAGCCAGAAAACATGTCTAACAACCCACTATATGCTTAACAGATTGCTACTGACCAACTGGAATTGCATTATACTGATAACCTCTTTAGGTCTGAGTTATCTATTTTAGGTTCAAATCTGGCTGAGGTCACAAGTGAATTTGGTGATCTCATCCTAGCCTACATCAGACATTTGGTAACATCACAAAAAATCCTGTCCTGGAGGCCCAGAGAGTTGGAACAACAGTGTTTTACAGGACAGGCCTAAAGAGTAGTAAGAACGAACTACCTAGAATCTGTTCACATACTGCTTAGTTTTAGTCAGACAAGAATTATTCCTACCCTTGCTAATTTATGAGCATTTATCATCTTTTATCTTCACTTTGAAGTACACACACAGTTCTCATTTGAGGTCTCTTACCTGTATATGTCAAATAGATGACACTCAGGAATACAACACCAGCAGCTAGTGACACACCCAAGAAGAACAAGGTCTGGAATTCTTGCTTTGTTAGTCTGTCTCTCAAATACTGCAAAAAGGCATAGGCTTGCAGCAGTGCAAACACACCTGGTTAAAGAAAGAGGAAAATTCTTGTTTAAATTCTCCAATAGAACAAGTAATAGCTGGTATACCTGTGGAATCCTTTGACCAAGGCTATGTCTACACTAGCACTTTTGTCCATCAGGGGTATGAAAAACAAACAAACAAAACAAAAAAACCCACCACACACCTCCGACCGACATAAGTTTCACTGACAAAAGTGCTGGTGTGGACAGCGCTATATCAGCGGGAGACACTCTCCTGTCGGCATACAGGGGCTATACGGGAGACCTTACAGTGGCGCAGCTGCAGTGGTACAGCTGTGCTGCTGTAAGGTCTGTAGTGTAGAAACAGCCTATACTGGAATTCTGGGAAACATTGTATGACCTTTTAAGAAGACTACTGCAATGCTTACCCTTCTGGCCAAGAACCCATTAACACCTATGCTCATTTGATACGTGATCCACAAGACTAATTTGCAAGTTAGATCACTCGTGTATCTTTAAAGAGTTAAAAATGTTGCTCTTGATAAAGGGAAGGCACTCCTCTATTGAGGAGTCAGGGGACACTACTTCCCATAAGATTCCCAGTTTGTTGTCATTGGCACTTGCTCTAATGACCCACTCTGCAAAAATCTAACACAGGTCTCCTGAAATCAAAACACTAGATCAGGGATCGGCAACGTTTGGTACGCGGCTTGCCAGGGTAAGCACCCTGGCAGGCTGGGCCAGTTTATTTATCTGCTCACGCGGCAGGTTCGGCCGATCGCGGCCCCCACTCACCGCAGTTCGCCGTCCCGGGCCAATGGGGGCGGTGGGAAGCCGCAGCCAGCACATCCCTCGCCTGTGCCGCTTCTCGACGCCCCCATTGGCCCGGGACGCGAACCACGGCGAGTGGGGGCCGCGATCGGCCGAACCTGCCACGTCAGCAGGTAAATAAACTGGCCCGGCCCGCCAGGATGCTTACCTGGCGAGCCGCGTGCCAAACGTTGCCAACCCTGCACTAGATGGTCTATATCTTGGCACAAATGAAAGTAAATTTTCATACAAGAGAAGCAGACTGAAAAATTTAAACTATGAATACTAAAATGTAAAAATCCCTCACCTAGAATGTTTCACACTAAACTATTTCAGAAAAAAAAAAATCAAAGATTTTAAATTATTTATAAATTCAGTTGTTCAGTAGAAGTTATATTCCACCTACCAAACATTCCAAATACACAACTGTTTTTGACACTTAAAAGTCACATTATATTCCAAAATTACAGTTGATCTAGTCATCAATACATGACTTCATATTGAGAAATGATCTAGTTTAATACTGGTAAAATATTTACTACCTCCATTAACTTACACACACAAAAAAATGATAATTTAACAATTAAAAAGGCATCTCCCCTGCTATTTACTAAATTGTAACATTTTCTATTTGTACCAATTTAATTAGCTAGCATGTTTCTCTTTCACAACTTGCATAATACAAAGGAGGTGAACAGCAACTTTTCTACCAAAAATTCGTGGGATACTTTGATGCATTAACATTTTTGGAAATACTAAAGGAATTTTAGTTTTCCTACCTGCAGCAGCCATGTGCTCACTTGTTCTAATTGGCTGAAAGCCCACAAAAGGTATCTGCATGGATAATATTAAGCCCACAATGTAGAAAGTGCTATATGCTATAGAAGAGAAAAGGGGAAGAGTATGAATTACTACATAATACTTCAAAAAACAATTTCAATTTTCCTTTTATCCCCATCTGTAATGACACATAATATAGCAGAACTACATCATTCAGGTATTTGTAGTATTGATTTATATTACACTCTATTTTTATTCAGATTTACCCTGAAAAGATCTTAGCAAATTTCACAACTCTCATTAACAATGGCTCTGGAGGAAGCAAGGAGACCACTGTTACTAATTGCACTAATATGTTCTTGCAAAGCATGAAAGTTAGAGTAAACTGCACACTCCAGTGGATCAAAGCAAGTTCAATATAACGCGGTTTCACCTATAACGCGGTAAGATTTTTGGCTCCTGAGGACAGCATTATATCGAGGTAGAGGTCTAACTTGAAAAGCAACCAAAAAAATAAATAAAAGTGCCTTAACACCCCCCCCCCCCACGGTGCACCACATATATTTTTAAACTTTGAAACTCATTAAACCACAAAGGATTGAAAGCTAAGAATTCAGCAGGATTGGGAGGGGGGAAAAAAGATTAGAATTTACATGGACAATAACAACATCCAGAGTAAAATATTAGAAAAAATTAGGAGCATTTTATTTTGAAGGGACTTCATGCCATCATGCTTCAGGACATAAACCATCCACTACCTGAAGAGATTTGGGAGAAACTTTCCATTATGAGCAGGTTATTCCATCACTGTCCACTACAAGGCTTCTTACACATTTCCCTGTAGCATCTGGTACTGGCCAATATCAGACAAAACATTGAACTAGCTGGATTACTGGTCAGATGTGGTCTGGCAATTTCTAAGCAGGACTAGTATTATACTCCTGCTTTTAAGAGCCTACTGGAGTCTGAAAGGATTATGGATTTCATGATCCTAGTAAATGTCATTCAGTGTAGTTGCCACGAATCTACTGCAATATTAAAAAGCAAGATCATGGTACTACTTTTAGTTTGTTTACGGCAGCCTGAACTTTACAGAAAAAATAACTATATATAGCTACTATGCAGCTGTAGAATAATTAGCACAACAGGGCCTCAATCTTAGTTGGGACCTCTAGGCGCTCCATTAATACAAATAAATACCATTGGCATCAGAGATTAAACAGATCAAAAGTCGCAGTGAGAATAAACAGTGGTGGTTAAAACCCCATTCCTCCACCTGACCCCCACAAACACAACCCGAGTATCTCAGCTTTTAAACAGATGTGGATAATAAAGTTTAGAAGTGGGCTACCAAAATGTGTCTCTTGGCCAACTAGACTACAGTGTAGCAAATTAATGTTTACCTGAAAACATTTATGTTTAATTACAAGACAAAAACTATATTAAGAGACAGGTAAGATTGAAAATACACATCTGTAATTTAGGATAAAATACACTAGAGGTACATTTTATTATCCCCCACAAACAAGTATTATAAACACAAAATACTCAAAGTGAAGATTAAATTTAAACAGAAATCTAAGCATATTAAGTTGCTTTACCTTATTAATTTTTTTAAACTTTCCCTTTGGTTTTTTTTAGTAGCTCATGTTTAAGACAGTACTGTACTATATTTGCTTTTTTGGGAGGGTGGGGGTGTGTGTGTCTCTGCTGCTGACTGATTGCGTACTTCCAGTTGCATATGAGGTGTGTGGTTGACTGGTCAGTTTGTAACTCTGGTGTTCCTAACACTGAAATCCTACTTTACAAAATGGGAAATGACTGCCTAGGAAGGAGTACTGCGGAAAGGGATATGGGGATTATAATAGATTACAAAGATACACTATTGACTCATATTTAACACTGTTGCAAAAAAACACAAAACAAAAGCAAAAAAACCAACACAACACCACCCAAACATACTGGGATGGATTAGAAAGAGTGTTGTCAACAAGACATGAGAAGTAATTATTTCAAGCTACTCTGTGTTGATAAGGCCTCAACTGGAGTATTGTGTCCAATTCTGGGTGCCACATTTCAGAAAAGATGTGGCCAAATTGGAGAAAGTCCAGAAGAGAGCAACAAAAATGATTAAAGGTCTAGAAAACATGACCTATGAAGAAAGACTGGAAAAAAACCTGGGTTTGTTTAGTTTGGAGAAGAGAAGACTTAGAGGGGACATGATAACAGTTTTCAAGTACGTAAGAGGTTATAAGGAGGAGGGCGAAAAATTGTTCTTGTTAACCTCTGAAGATAGGACAAGAAACAATGGGCTTAAATTGCATCAAGGGTGGTTTAGGTTGGACATTACTTCCCAACTGTCAGGTATTTAAGCACTCGAACAAACTGCGTTGGAAGGTTGTGGAATCTCCGTCATTAAAGGTTTTTAAGAACAGGTTAAACAAAAACCTCTCAGAAATGGCTTAGTGATTACACAGTCCTGCCTTGAGTGCAGGAGACTAGACTAGATGACCTCTCATGGTCCCTTGCAGTCCTAAACTTCTCTAATTCTATGTGTAGCTCTGTAGATAGGTAAGTACAAACTGCCTACGAATCACTCTTTCCCCTTAAATTTACTCCCCCCCCCATTTGAAAACATATTTCAGTATTAAGGTGTCCACAACTAAACGCAGCACTCTAAGTACAGTCTCATCAGAGTCATATGAAAATGGACCATTGGGTTCATTTCCTTGGCCTCTGGTAGTGATGCCTCTGGATACGCAGCACAAAAATTGCAGAGATTAGAAGCTCACAGCCAATTTGTTATGCACTTGTTTGTGTCACTATTTCTAGTTCTCTAGGCACAATTGTAGTATTTCTGTCTTTTATAGTATATGCAATACCTCAATTACATATTCTGATTTCTTCTCTCAATTGGCCAATTACTTAATTAATGGAAGTCAGACTTAACAGGTTAATTGCCTTTTCTTTCAAAAAGATATTTACTAAATTAACTTTTTCCAGGTCCCTGCTACCTGTTACATTCTCCAAGACTTCTCAAAAATTGTCATTTGTGGAGTTTAATTATCTAATCTATTTTCTTATGCTGCACCTGATAAGAACATAACAGCAGCCATACTGGGTCAGACCAAAGGTCCATCTAGCCCAGTATCATGTCTTCCGACAGTGGCCAATGCCAGATGCCCCAGAAGGAATGAACAGAACAGATAATCACCAAGTGATCATCCCCCGGTGCTCATTTCCAGCTTCTGGCAAACAGAGGGTAGGGATACCATTCCTGTCCATCCTGGCTAATAGCCATTGATGGACCTATCCCCCATGAACTTATCTAGCTCTTTTTTGATAAGAGAGGCTCATGGATAGATTCCCTTTTTGAAGCATAATACTGTAACTTATGACTCATGTATCATTGTGTTCCTTAATATTTACACCAGAGCAGCTAAAGGCCCCACATTATATATCTTCAGTAATCTCCAATTTCACAATAATGTGTCCAGGAATTTTTCTGCAGCAGATCAGAATTACTGTAGATTTGTTTATTTTTCCTCTTATATCCTTACCTGCAGTACTCTGTCACTATCGTCTTCATTATAAGCTTGTACCTCACTGGCTTGGTAAATCCTTGAGATATGCCATGGCTCTATCTTCTTCCTTTTATATCTCACCTAAGACTGCACCCATAGCATCAACATTCTATTTTGAGACTTCACATCAACAAATACTCATTAAGAAAATCTTGTCATCAATATTACTTTTAGCTCACCTTGCTTCCCCCATCCTCAAGCGTACAGACTTTTAAATTCGGGCTGTTGATTAATCGCAGTTAACTCACGCAATTAACTCAAAAAATTAATTGAAGTTTTAATTGCACTGTTAAACAATAGAATGCCAGTTGAAATGTATTAAATACTTTTAGATGTTTTTCTACATTTTCAAATATATTGATTTCAATTACAACACAGAATACAAAGCGTACACTACTCACTTTATATTATTTTTATTACAAATATTTGCACTGTAAAAATGATAAACAAAAGAAATAGTATTTTTCAATTCACCTCATACAAGTACTGTAGTGCAATCTCTTTATCCTGAAAGTGCAACTTACAAATGTAGATTTTTTTGGTTACATAACTGCACTCAAAACAAAACATTGTAAAACTTTAGAACCTACAAGTCCACTTCTTATTTACAATGTCACCATAAAGTGAGAACAGGCGTTTGCATGAGACTTTTGTAGCTGGCTTACAAGGTATTTACGTGCCAGATATGCTAAACATTCATATGTCCCTTCATGCTTCGGCCACCATTCTAGAGGACATACTTCCATGCTGATAACGCTCGTTAAAAAAATGTGTTAATTAAATTTGTGACTGAACTCCTTGGGGGAGAACTGTATGTCTCCGGCTGTTTTACCCACATTTTGCCATATGTTTCATATTATAGTAGTCTCGGATGATGACTCAGCACATTGTTCGTTTTAAAAACACTTTCACTGCAGATTTGACAAAATGCAAAGAAGGTACCAATGTGAGATTTCTAAAGATAACTACAGCACTCGACCCAAGGTTTAAGAATCTGAAGTGACTTCCAAAATCTGGGAGGGACGAGGCGTGGAGCATGCTTTCAGAAGTCTTAAAAGAGCAACACTCCAATGCGAAAACTTCAGAACCTGAACCGCCAAAAAAGAAAAATCCACCTTCTGCTGGTGGTATTGGACTCAGATGATGAAAATGAACATGCGTCGATCCACACTGTTTTGGATTGTTATCGAGTAGAACCAGTCATCAGCATGGACGCATGTCCTCTGGAATAGTAGTTGAAGCATGAAGAGACATATGAATCTTGAATGCATCAAGCTTGTAAATATCTTACGATGCTGGTTACAACAGTGCCATGCAAATACAGGTTCTCACTTTCAGGTGACATTGTAAACAAGAAGTGGGCAGCATTGTCTCCTGCAAACAAAAACTTTTTTGTCTGAGCGATTGGCTGAACAAGAAATAGGACTCAGTGGACTTGTAGGCTCTGAAGTTTTACAGTAAAAGCTTTGTTATCCGGCATGTTGGGGGAATGGGGTGTGTCGGTTTATCAAATA